GGCAGAGACGGCTGGAGCAGGTGCTGCGGGCTGCGCGGCCGCAGGAACTGGTTTTGAGGTAGGCTCGTCATCGGCATAGCTATCGCGGGACAAGACATGGTCAGCGAAAATTCCACGACTGGACCTGATGATCAGGTGTTCCAAGAGCGCGTGTGTGGTGTCAGGGGCGACCGGGCAGCACTCACAGATCGGCGAAGAGATCATCTTCGAATGACTCTGGTTCCGTCATTTTGGAGGGCGGTAATGGGGCCGAAGGACAAGACAGCCAACTTAAGGGGTTAGAGGAAGGACGGGAAACGACTGTAAAGAAGAGAAAAATCCTAGACGCGAACAGTCAGTCGCGCAGTCGCGAGGTCGGGAAGATGCCGAGGTTCGCGACGTTATCTGGGATCCTGATTGTCCATCGACAACGGACTCGATGGGAAGGTTCTCGGGGACCAAGCAGGTCGGGACGCGGATAACCGATGCCAGGAGCAAACAGCGGCACGGGAGTAAGGTTGGGAGATGGAAGTTATGTCCGAAAGCTGTGTTTTGATGGTTGTGAAGTGGAGAAGAAGAAGCTGACGGATGTCGGCCTTGGAGCACGCTCGATAACACAGTGGAGAGGCTCTCGAGTGGAGTCCTTTGAGGCTTGAGTTTGAGCCCGGTCCTTTGTGGAGCGCGTTCATGAATATGACGGCACGCTGATAAGGATAAGCGTGGGGAGCTAGAATTTTTGGCTTGCCTGCCCACCTGGGAAGCTCCAAGGGAGGGCAACTGCACATAGCAGGCAAGAGTGCACCTCGAGCTGGAGAGCAGAGCGCCCACCTAAGGTGTACGGACAAAACGGGGAGGCGCTTACTTCACCACCATTCAGCTGCCTTGGAACCAGCTGAAGCAATGCGCCCCCAGAGACCGTCGACTGGGCATCTATCAGCGCCATGGTAGTCCTCAGATGCACGTCGGGCGCATCAGCACAGGGACAGGTATTCCAGCAATGCGACTGGCCGCCTCCTGGCACCCCCGATTCACCACCACTTGCGTCGCCGCCGTCGCCTCTCCCTGCCTCTCTCACCCACCGCCCTTCCGCCTTCATTCTACACTGTTCGCGGACCCGGAACGCGCCTTTTCACCACCAACCTTCGCAACCGGCCAACGGTGGCCGCCAGGGCCGCCCCGCTCAAACCCAGGACTGGGTCGTCGAGGATTCGCACGGGAGCTGTCCTCCCAGGACCGCCCCGTCCCCCCAGCCCCCGCTGATGATCACGCGGAGGGTTACGGAAGATGGAAGTGGCTGCTGTTGGATAGCGCAAGAGCGCTCAAGGAGTCGTCTCCTGTGGGCGCCTTTCTGCAGGGGCGCTTGGTAAATCGCCCGGGGGCCGGCAAAGATTTGGCTCTGTGGGCATGTCTGCTCAACGTCTGCCAGAGAACTCGTAAAGAACCCCATACGTCGTTCCTGCTTGAACAGCTATTCAGACGCCGCCAGCTGTACTACCAGGAAGACCTCCCGCTTACTGCCGACTTCTGGAAAACCGTGCTGGATCTATCGCTCCGGGACGACAGGCTGCTTGTGCAGCTCTGGGTCTACGCCGAATGGATGCGCGTTTCCCATCAAGTGCAGTGGCCTGGGCTGTATGGCACCATCATGAGGTTCCTCCTGGCTGAGGAGGAGCTGCCTAGAGCATTTCGCTGGCACGTTCGTCTCGCCACAAATTTTGGCCACGATAGGGCCGAGTTTTTGCGGCTTTTGATGGATTTTTCCACGCATAGCAACACCACCATGCAGGCCCTTCTGAGGTCCATGTATGTTGTGAGTCCACATCGTGACCTCTACGACACGTTGATACCTCATATCTGGAACCAGGGGCACTCGGGTCTTGCCAGGTATTGGAGAGGCATCCTGGTCCGGCACAACGACCGACCAAAGTCGGACGAGGCGCACACATTCATCAAATACCTCTCAGCCTACTTCCCGCAGATATACCTACACAGGGAGGAGAAAGTCGTCTGCAGCCTCGAGGAAGAAACGGCTGGCGACGGGATCCACATTGGAGATATTCACACCTTTATCAACCGTGTTCACGGCAAGACTTTTGGCATCAAAGAGAAACCATACAACGATTCTATGGGAGCAAATTGGTTTGCAAGCTCCTGGGTCTCTCTCGACACGGCCATACACCTAGTACACGCTTTGGGGGTGCGAAGCATCGGCCCATTGTCCCTGCAATCGATTGCCCTGCGAGAGCCGACTGTGGACTCGCTAGCTCGCCGGCTAGAGCAGCTCCAAACCCTCAGGATCGACACAGGTAACTCCCGATACTCGGCGGCTGTCAAGCACTTTACGGCGCAGCGAGACGAGGAAACGCTCCGGGAGCTCCTCGCCTCAGACATCCATCCAGAGGTCTACGACGATCCAGCCACCCAGAAGAACATTCTCGACGCATCGTCTCGCTCGGGCGACTGGAAGACGTACCGCCTCATACTTTCCGTGAGGTCCGCCGAGGGTCTCGACCACATCGCACTCGGTTTCAACGACCTGATCTTGACGTACCTGCACGGCGGTAGGCGGCAAATGGTTCTCGCAGTACTCGCCGAGATGAGCTCCAAGGGCATTCCTATACTCCCCGGAACCAGCCACCTGATCTCTCAGTACATCGTTTACAACACCAAGGATATTTACGACACGCGGCACGATCGCGATGAATTCTACGTTGCCCTGGGTCGCCGGATGATGGAAACCTCTTACCCTCTGGCTTGCGAGGCCTGGGCCCTATTGTTACGATCTCTCGGCCGCCGCTACAAGTTCGACAAGCTGGAGAACTTGACAATGGAGATTATCCGTCACTACAGAGAAGCCGACGCCTCGGGTGCACACATGATGAACGTCCCGACAGCCGACGTGCCAGATGGGTTCTTATACGAGTACTCGAAATCCCTGCCCTTCCAGCGACTACCGGCCGATCTGCCGCTGAGCAATCCGAACCATCCGATCCAAGTCCTCTTCGGCACCAAGTTCCAGATGAGCACTATCTATCGCACCATTCGTTTCGTGCTGCTTTACCCTCAAGGGCTGAACGGCCAGGACGGCGAGATGGCCTCGTACACCCTCGGACGCGGCGTCAAGTTCCTGGCCGAGCTGAAGAGAATCGGGGTCAACGTAAACGATAACACGGTTCGGGCTGCCGTCACAGAGAGCCTCGTCGACCTATTCGGCTACGAGTGGACCCCCAGAAAACCCCATCTCGCCATGGCCATGAGCCGCAACCGCCTCCCGCTCGCGCTCACCAGGGAAATCTTCAACCAGGCTTGGGGCGCCGAGCTACTTCCCCAACCGGAAGAGCTGGCACAGTTGATCGACAGAGCCTCACTGCGTCGCCACACAAGGATGGAGAAAAAGAAGGAGTTCTTCATGCAGCGCGAAGCGAGGCTCCGTGGGCTGAGCGATGCATCGCTTGTATGACATATGTACCATAAAGATTTGCCGGGCTGCCCGGTCGACCTGACGGTTGATGATTTTGTATGACGGTATATCTTGATGCGCATAGATGAGGCTTCCTACATATATAAAACTACGAGAAGGTAATATTCACAACATCTAAACCGTGCAAAGGTGTCGGACGACAAAAAAAAAAAAAGGCTGGTGGGTACATCGAGAGCCAGATTGCAACACACAAACTCCGTCGAATTACAAGCCTAAATGCAACACGAGACTGACCTCATAGTTTCTCTAGAGTCGTAATGTAATGATTGCGATGAAAAGAAACCCCCATTCGCACTTTTTGTAGCAGGGGCCTTCGCCAAAGGACAGAAGGAAAGAATAATGACAGGTATCTTACATTTGCCCCCTTTAAACGCCTAACTTTAGTTTCGATTCTCCTCCCCCGGACGTGGTTGTGGTCAAGACGGCGTAAACGTGTGCATCTCATGAACGCTCTATCGGCCCCGGCTCCGGCTCCGGGTCGAGTGCAACGGCGGGCTGCTGCCCCTTCTTGGGCTTGATGATGAGCAGGATGATCATGCCGGCGATGATGAGCGCCAGCAGCAGCATGATCTTCCTCTTGGTCGTCTTCTTCTGGTAGCCCGACGCGACCACCAGCTCCTTCTCGGCCGCCTTGACGTCGGTGGCCATGCGCTCGACGTTGTAGTCTATGCGGTCCAGCATGGTGCCCTGGTCGATGACCATGGTCTGCAGGTCGCGGAACAGGTCCGAGAGGTCGATGATGCCCTGCGCGATCTGGTCGATCTCGCGCTCGCGCTGCAGGATGGTGGCGTCGTTGGACTGCAGTAGCTTCTGGTGCATCGTCGCCTGCAGGGTCGACTGCGAGAAGGATCGGTCCGCGTCCGACTCGAGGAGCGACGGCTCCATGTACGCCGCCGACGACGAGCCTCCGGCCAGGGGCGTCGACGACCTCTCCCCGACGGGGCTCATGGTACCGCCACCCATGTCCTTTAGTTCTGTTGGTTGGCACAAACGAACAAGTGTCAGTCAGCAGTCTGTCGAGAAGGGGGGAGGGGCAGGAGTCAAGGCTGTCTGCTCACTCTTTAGATAGGAGCTCTGCTTCTTCCTGAAGCCGGCGCTCGCCTCCTGGACCCTGGCGGCCAACGAGACCTGTATGTTCTTGGCCATGGTCTCCTCGGCCCTGCTTATGCCGTTGGGCGACTGGTGCGAGTCCTTGACCATGCGGTCGACCCTCTGGATGCACTTGTGGCATTTGTGGAAGCCCCTGGTGATCTTCTGGGTCAGGTCCTCGATCTCGCTCTCCTCGGCCTTCTTGGCCTCCTCGTCGTTGAAGCCCGGCAGCACGTGCTTCTGGTGCAGTCGGTCGAGCTTCTGGCCCTTTTGCGCAATGTCGGCCAGCAGGTCCGAGACCTCGTCGCCGACTTCGGCCCAGCGGGGCGGTAGCAGGTCCATCTCGATCACGGCGTCGCCATCGTCGTTTGCGTCGTACGCGCCCGACGACAGCAGGCCCCGCCGGTCCTCGTCGGCCGAGAAGAGGAGGCTGTTGCCGGTGCCGCCGCCGCCGGGGCGGTCCGCGCCCGTCGACGTCGCCGCGTGGTCTCCATACCGCGTTCGCTTGGCCGGGTGGTGTGCATACGACGATCGGTAGGATATGTATCTGTTGTGGTGGCGGCGTGTCAGCAGGGTGCCAGGCGCAACGGCGCAATGCGTGCAATAGCGCGAGGGTACGTCGAGTGGGCTGCTGGACAGGGGGGAAGCTTACAGGTTGGTGCGATCTCGCCACATGGCGGACGCCGCCGGATGGGAGCGGAGGTCGGCGGCGGCACTTTCGGGGCCCTCGGGGATTGCGCGCGGAGAATTCGGCTGGATCTATGAGAAGCAAATATGGCCCATTTCCAGGGGGGTGTTCATTTCATTGGGCCGGGCGGCAAGTTCCACGGGCAGAGCTCGCCGGACACGGAAAACGCAAAGAGCAGAAAAAAGCGGTTGTGCGAAACCATGCAATTCGCGCGATGACATCTAAGGCTGCTAAACTGGACGAACTGGACAGATGCGAGGGTCCTGCCGCATGTGCGCTGCCGTCTGTCGGATGAGGCTGAGCTGCACCCAAAACCGCATGCAGACCCGCAGGCCAGGCCCAGGCATGCTCCACCCAGAGCTGGAGACCAGCACTGACGAGGAACCATGTACCCCCCATGTCACTTCCCCTACGTAATCACCGCCCAGCCCAGCCGATTACGTGATCGGGCAGCCCGTGACAGTGGGCTCTGGGACCCCTCCACTCGCCCCCTTTCTTCTGTCCCGCAAAATGCAGCCCACATTGATTGAGATAATTGAGATGGAGGAGAGGCAGCCCGGATCCGGCTTCGACTGGCGGGGTGGGGGTTGGCTGATTGGGCGGTTCAATAGGCTGCGCGGCCTGGGCTCTGACGCGGACACGCGGCGGTCAGTTGCTCTCAACGGCGCTCCTAATCTGTCAATAATGAATTTGCGAACGAGCGAGCGAGCGAGCAAGCGAGAGCCTGTGTGAGGGGAGGGTGTCTGTCTAGGTGGGCAGGTGCCAGGTTGCAGGCAGCCATGCTGTGCTGGATGGAAGCCCAGCAGCCTGGGGGCGAGACAAGGCGTCTCACCAGGCAGGCCAAGTGGAAAAAGGGAAAAGGTCTTCGGAGGGAGCTGGGTGGACCGAGGGGTCTGGTCCCGCCCATCCCTCGGGCGCCAGTGGCAGTCCCAGTAACAGGAGCGGCTGTGACTGTCACTGTGGACGCTCCTACTGTCTACTGTACCCATCCAGTGCCATCCACCGACCATCCATCCCTCCATTCCCTAACCTTGCTTCTGCCCGAGGACTGACCCAACCTACACCCGCAATCCTCAAAGGCCCGACACACCACGAGTCGAATTTGCCGATTCTCCACAACAACGGCTCCCTCTCGTTTCTGCTGTCTCGAGCCTCAACTAAACACCAACACAAACTTGCACCCGCCACTTTCAACCACCTCTAACCAGCGTCGTTATCCATCATGGTAAGCTCCAGCCCAGCCTGTCGGCGCGTCGATGCTGCTACGGCTGGCGCCGCCTAGGCCTCCTCGCCGAGGGTCGCAACCCCGCGGTCAGCCACGGAGGAAAGGCGCGCGCCCGCCCGCTCCAACGCTCGCACGCACCGGTGGCCGGTCCCTCGACTCTGGCCGAATCCCCGACTAACTGATGTTCCCTGTGCGACAGGCGGACTCACTTTCCGAGGAGCAGGTGTCCGAGTTCAAGGAGGCGTTCTCTCTTTTCGTAAGTAGCCTGCCCTACCCCGCCGCCCGCAGACCCAGCAGCATCGTTCTAGTGTCACCACCACGGCCACCAACCGTCACCGTCACCGTCACCGTTGCAGCCGAGTCTACGAGACACAGAGCCGATCAAGGGATACGATGCTAACATGGCCCAACGTTGTGTGCAATAACAGGACAAGGACGGCGATGGTTAGTCGACCAAACATCTCCCCCCTGCCATGAACGCCGATGAAGAATTACGCTCCTTTCCTCCCGACACCGAACGTCCTTACCTGGGCGGCGAGCAACAGACCAAGGGGGGCAGTAATATGAGCTGACACCTTCCCTAGGACAAATCACCACCAAGGAGCTCGGGACCGTCATGCGGTCGCTCGGTCAGAACCCCTCCGAGTCTGAGCTGCAGGACATGATCAACGAGGTTGACGCCGACAACAACGGCACCATCGACTTCCCGGGTACGGCTCCAGCACAATGCCTAGCCGAGTATCTCGGTCCTTGCTCCCCTTCGCCTCGCGCTAACAGCCCGAACCGCCATAGAATTCCTGACCATGATGGCGAGGAAGATGAAGGATACCGACTCCGAGGAGGAGATCCGGGAAGCTTTCAAGGTCTTCGACCGCGACAACAACGGCTTCATCTCGGCCGCCGAGCTGCGTCACGTCATGACGTCTATCGGCGAAAAGCTCACTGACGACGAAGTCGACGAGATGATTCGTGAGGCCGATCAGGACGGCGATGGCCGGATCGACTGTATGTCAAGCAACATGATCCCCTCCCCGCCTTGGCCACTCCTCCCATGCCCATGCCCCAACATCTCACAGGCAGAACTGCGGCTAATAGCAAAACAGACAACGAATTTGTGCAGTTGATGATGCAAAAGTAATGGCCGACAATCCCCAGCGTCTTTTTTTCATGGCACTTTATGGAGAAAAATGCTTCCTAGTTCTCCGTTTTCTTGATGGAGTGGATTCGGACGGTGCGGCGATGGGACGCAGACGTTCCATACCTGGGTTATTTTCACTCGACATTCGACGGGACTCTTTCAAGGGAGCGACCTCAGGGAGGATGGCTATGTCATGGGAAACATGTCCTACTTTTGTTTCTTCAATTTCAGACCTTTTCTTCCTTTTATGTCTTGCGGTCAAGATTTGTATGAGGCCTGAAGAACCCCCGTGCGTACCAGGGAAGAGCCTCCGAGGGCCGGGTTTCACAGCGCAACACGCCGGACGGCGTTGCTGTGGTGAATGGGACTGCCCCTTTTCTGCGAAGAACATGAAATGGAATCCACAACACCCTAGTCGGCATGCCAGGCATTGGAGTGCGAGCACCAGAGTTGGATACATATCAGGTAGGCACCTATCCTCACTGCTGGGCCACATGTTGGGATTTGCCTGAATGGATCAGGTGATATAAGTCGACAATGATAGGCTGTAGTTCATAAGACGAACGCTATGATTGAATTGACAGGTGCTCGGGTGCCGCCAGGGGGTCCAAATATGGGTAAGGAGGCCTTTTTTTTTTTAAAGTTCGGTCGTATCTATATGGCGCCCGCGTGCCCAGCAAGCTTTTCGGATCTGGCCGTCGGTCCAGACTCATCGCCACCTCCTACAGCCAGTTCTTGGCCCTGCTGCCTAGGCCAAAAGGGATGACCAGAACGGGCTGCATGTCAAACCTGATGGGGTCATGTCAGACCCGAGGGAACGGTTGCAGGCCCCCGATGGTGGCTGTGCTCCCTAGCGCCCGCAACGGGACCTGCCCTTGCCCGTGTCCATGCACTTCTTTCTTGTCGTCGTCACCTTACCCCATGTTTTTTTCCAGCCCTATGGAAGGGCTTATTGGATGGTGGCACAATAACCGGTATCTGACGGGGTGGCCAAGAAAACGGATTTATGCCGGTGAGGTTGTAGTGAGAAGATGGTGTCTTTTATCGAGATGCTGTGATGATTGAGAGCGGACGAAGGCCCCGCTTGACCACATTAAAAGTACCAGTGCCAGTAGAGTACCTAGATAGACGTGGTTGCTCCTTGGGGCTGTTCCTTCCAAGCTCCCTCAAAAACAGGTTGGATTAGATGGGCTTGTTTGTTAAAGATCCCATCATCCTGTGTTGCCATCGTCCCAGTTTCGCCGAGATGAATTGGCAAATGGAAACGGCGCACGTACCCGGTCTCCATAGCAGACCTCGGCCGAACCCTGTAAACCCAACGATTATTTCGACGACCAACATCAACCCCTAAAATCGCCCTGAGCCTCGCAGGGCACCGGCTATATATCATGCCATGCCTATGAGCCCGCTCAAGCGATGGCATTCTCGGCTGGGTTTCCTGAGCGATGAGTTCCTCCTGCGGCGCCGTGCAGCACGTTGCCGACGACGTTGAACGGGATCAACAGGTTATGCTGCTTGCTGCCCGGCATGGACCTCGCCGCGGTTAACGCAACCCCCATTTTCACACCCAGCGGCATCTCCAGCTCGCCGAAAGAATACTTCCTCAAGCATTACCTGCTACTGCCCCCTTTACCCGTTCCCCTTCCCGAGAATCCAACCCCACGAGGGACCAGCCGCACCGCATGTATAAGGGGATCATCGGGGCCGCCGGGGAGCACCTGTCCCGCCACGTGCTCAGCGAGCGGCTCGTCATGTCGGGCGATGCGTTGGTCGCGACCAACGCCCGCAATCAGCACAGCATCTTACAGGGCACCAACGGCCAACACTTAAAGTTCTTTTCCAGTGGTATAGTGGGAGTCCGCGTTTAGGGTCCTCCCCTCTCGCGGCGCTGACCGAAGCCGGCGCCTGGGTATACCACTCCACCCTGTTGGGCGTCATGCTAGGATGGACTGGTGCCGAGAGCCCCGCGTACCTCCTGTGTCCCAAAGCCGTTGAGTCCACCTTCTGGCTGGCCGAGATGCTCCAGCAATTCTTCCTCGCTTTCGTCAAGTTTGACGTCCTCCTTCTTGATGATGAGCCCTCGACACGGCGGCGCACCCCTGGGAATGCCGGATGTTCAGGAGAATTGTCTTCAAGTTAATCGTTCCAGCTGTAATGCACTGGTCCATCCTTTTAACCCATCTCCCTGTCCTCCGTATGGATTAATCTCGCTGTTGTTCTTTTTTTCCCTTCCAGTCATAGGATAGGGGAGAGTAGATTACGGCCGGAATCGGGACGGGTGAACGAGGATTCCAACGTGTCCGAGATACAAGAAATCTCGGTAGCCGACGTCCCGTCCGAAGGAATGAGGCCGGTAGGATGCGTGATTCATCAACTCCGAGGTTCCGGATTCGATGCAGGACGGCTGCGGATCCATGGCCATGGACACAATGCAATATCCACGCAGGACAGAGCGGGACAAATTAAAAAAGAATAGTTGCTGTGAAGGGCGATAGCTTCAAGGAAACTATAAGACAACTCCTGTCCTGCCTACTATCGGCATATCTATCTTCTCAACCCCTTTTTGTTGGCCGCCATGGCCATCCACGGTATCTTTCTCAAAGATGATACTGTCGCCGAGCGACTTATACGCAGCGCAAGCGATAACCTGACCCAATATTCGTCAACTGACCTCGATTTCACCGAAAAAAAGGTCGGTATCCGGTTGCTTGCTTGCCTCGTTTGGCTTTGTGAATTATTACACCACCAAAGATATGTCGAAAGATATAAAAATGTCAAGGTGAAGCTGGAAGGCGAGGAGGACAAGGAGGTGGAGAGGAAAATAGGGTAAGAGAACAAGGTGGAGACTGAAAAGAACATTTCGGAAGGAGAAGGAGAGGTGAAGGGAAAAGAGCCTAGATACACTCTAGGGATATTGGGGAAAACGTCAAGTTACGCTTGAATACCCTGCTAGCCGTCTATTGAGTCCAAGAGGTCAGACTAGATGACTTCAGGATGTGCAGTAGGTGGGTGAACGGCGACGTGGCGGCCTGGAATTTTAGGCCTCTCAAGTCAGATGCCCCACCATCCTCAGCCAATCCCCACTGTGGACCACGACAAGTGCTTGATGTGTCCCTGGCCTGGGACTTGCCAGGGGGACCAGAGCTGGGCGTAGCGAATATCAGACAGCCAGCAACCACATGCACCGCCGCCCCAACCCGTTCTCTGCAGACCCTCGACCGCGTCCCTCGAACCCCCCTCGAAGCCTGGCCCAAGTTCTCCAGAAGGCCCCTCCGCGGGCCTCGCCGTCGCTGTGCCACAATGGCTTCCCGTAAGTCACTCGCTGCGAGCAGCCTGACCTCGATCCCACCACCAAAGTGGCGGACAGCAGCGCGGGCCGACCACGGGAGCTAACGCACCGCACCTCGGGCAGTCAAGCAGTTTATCCGCAACGTGCGCGCGGCCAAGACCATCGCGGACGAGCGAGCTGTCATCCAGAAGGAGAGCGCCTCCATCCGCGCAAGTTTCCGCGAGGAGAGCGGCGATCACAGCGTGAGGTGCGTGCGTGCTGCCTGCCGTGTGCCCTGCCGCCGCCGTCGCCGCCGCCGCCGCCGGTGTCCCATCCCAACACAGCTGGCTTGCTTGCTTGGCAGCAGTGACGGTGGGGGCAAGCGATCGGCCCTCCTGCTCGGCCCGTCACATACACCCGATCCAAACGAAGGGCGAGGCGCTGACCAAATATGCACGTGGTGGGGGTGATGTCGCAGGCGGAACAATGTCTCTAAGCTCCTCTACCTCTTTACCCTCGGCGAGAGGACACACTTCGGCCAGATCGAGTGTCTGAAGCTGCTGGCCTCGCCGCGGTTCGCCGACAAACGCCTCGGGCACCTGGCCACGAGCCTGCTGCTTGATGAGAACCAGGAAGTTCTCACGCTGGTCACCAATTCCCTCAAGAAGTGAGTAGGCCCGTCTCTGGCATATATAAGTGCGCAGCTGTACTTGATTTGCTGACGAGACTGGTCCCTCTCCGCAGCGACCTCACACACTCCAACCAGTACGTCGTGGGCCTCGCCCTCTGCACGCTGGGAAATATCGCTTCGGTCGAAATGTCGCGAGACCTGTTCCCCGAGATCGAGAACCTTGTATCGACCGCCAACCCGTACATCCGGAGAAAGGCCGCCCTGTGCGCCATGCGGATATGTCGCAAGGTGCCGGACCTGCAGGAGCACTTTATCGAAAAGGCTACACAGCTTCTGTCAGATCGCAACCACGGCGTGCTGCTCTGTGGCTTGACCCTCGTGATCAGCCTGTGTGAAGTCGACGAGGACGAAGACGAGGGCGGTAACGAGGAGGGTATGATAGAGAAGTTCCGTCAGTTCGTGCCTGGGCTGGTGCGCACCCTCAAGAGCTTGGCCTCGTCAGGATACGCGCCCGAGCACGACGTCACAGGCATCACGGACCCGTTCCTGCAGGTCAAGGTCCTACGCCTGTTGAGGGTGCTCGCCCGCGGTGACGCCCAGGTCAGCGAGCAGATCAACGACATCCTGGCTCAGGTTGCCACCAACACCGACTCGTCCAAGAACGTGGGCAACTCGATCCTGTACGAGGCTGTGCGCACCATTCTCGATATCGAGGCCGACTCGGGCCTGCGCGTGCTCGGCGTCAACATCCTCGGCAAGTTCCTGACCAACAGAGATAACAACATCCGCTACGTCGCTCTCAACACCCTCGTCAAGGTCGTCGCCATAGAACCCAATGCAGTGCAGCGGCATCGCAACACTATCCTCGAGTGTCTACGCGACCCTGACATCAGCATCAGGAGGCGTGCCCTCGAGCTGAGCTTCACGCTGATCAATGAGGGCAACGTGCGCGTCCTGATTCGCGAGCTTCTGGCCTTCCTCGAGGTCGCCGACAATGAGTTCAAGCCCACAATGACTAGCCAGATCGGCATCGCCGCCGACAAGTTTGCGCCCAACAAGCGCTGGCACGTCGACACCATGTTGAGAGTACTGACCCTGGCAGGCAACTACGTGAAGGAACCCATCCTATCATCGTTTATCCGGCTCATTGCCACGACCCCCGAGCTCCAGACATATGCGGTACAGAAGCTATACACCAACCTAAAGAAGGACGTGACCCAGGAGAGTCTGACGCAGGCCGGTGCCTGGTGTATCGGCGAGTACGGCGAGGCACTGCTTCGCGGTGGGCAGATGGAGGACCAGGAGCCGGTGAAGCCAGTGCGTGAGCACGAGATTATCGACCTGTTCTCGACGGTGCTCAACAGCAACTACGCCACCCAGGTGACGACCGAATACATCGTCACGGCCCTCGTGAAGTTGACAACAAGATTATCAGACGCGGCCCAGATGGAGAGAGTGCGCCGTCTGCTGCAGGCCCACCAGACTAGCCTTGACGTCGAGATCCAGCAGCGCGCTGTAGAGTACATCAACCTGCTGGGCTACGAGCAGATCCGCAACGGCGTACTCGAGAAGATGCCGCCGCCGCAGATTAAGGAGTCGTCCAGGGTGCTGGGAGAGGCGACCAAGAAGCCCGCAAAGGCTTCGCGCAAACCCAAGGTGGTCAAGCCAAAGGAGGAGGACCTCCTCTTCGACCTCATGGGTGACAGCAGCGCCCCGGTGACGTCGCCGGCCAGCGGCGGCCAGAACAATGCCGACTTGCTCGCAGACATCCTTGGCGGTGCCACTTCAGCGCCACCTGCTGGATCCGTCTCCTCGCCCATGGCGGCCCAGCAGTCTAATGTAGCCTCGATAATGGACCTCTTTGGCCCCGGCCCGTCGACGCCGTCCCCTGCCCCTGCCCCTGCGGCAGCGGCCGCCGCCGCGCCGCCCGCAGCATCTGCGAGTATGGATCTGTTTGGGGCTGTGTCGACCCCACCCCCTCAGGCCCAAGCCGCAGCGCCGGCGCCCCCGGTGGGCCACCCGTGCTACGACGGCAACGGACTCAACGTGACGATACAGACGCAGCGCAATGCCGAGGGTGCTATCCAGGCCATGGCACGCTTCCGCAACTCGGGCGGAGCGTCTCTTTCCGACGTCGGCCTCCAGGCGGCCGTGCCCAAGTCACAAAAGCTCCAGCTGCTTAGCATCTCGACCCCCCAGGTGGACCCGGGTGTTGAGGCAACACAGTTAATGAGGGTCCTAGGCTGCAAAGGGGTAAGCCAACCACATATGCTCTATCGATGTTTGGTGTCTGGGCTTATTGCTAACCTCCCGTTTACCGACCAGCCGTTGCGACTTCGTCTGAGGATAGCGTACACGCACCCCACGGCCGGGCAGGTCATGGAGCAGGTGAACTGGGCCGAGCCAGCATGAGAAAAGCGATTTCGGCACGTCCTGGCTTTGTTTTTTTTCCCCCATCATTTACGCTAGCAAGATGAGTTGAATGTTATATCTTGGAACCCTGCGTCGTCTAAAGTCGTCTGTCAAGTCCTTGTTTTGTGAGCGGGATGGTTTGTGAAAAAGCGCCTACAGGGCAAGGGGGATTGTAAAATCAAAATACCAAAAACTTAGTATACCTGATCATGAGCACAATAGCTGCTTCCATCTCATGACATTGAAGGCTGCATATTGATGTGGAGTACACTGCTGGTCTAGCCTTTTCCACCGAGCAATCACACAGGCAGTGTGCTGTAGCCGACGAGGCGACTTCATGAGACGAACGGAAAACAGTTTCATTATCCATATCATGGTCGCATTCATAAATCCATCCGCAAAGCAGCACCGCTACATGATTTATATCTAGCTAGACATGTGCACCATGCGACAAGAAGAGAAAAAAAGCGCGCTCCTCACACCGGAAGCGACATCGGTAATTGTTTTGCTCAGGTCCCCGTGCACCCAACCCATGGTGGCCACCTGCTGGCGGAAACGACTGCTGCTCCACTACTCGTCAGCAGCATAGCCATCCTCCTCACCCGCCTCGCCGCCGCCGCCGCAGGCCCTCGCCTCCCTGTCGAGGCGCGCGTACCTCGACAGCAGCGACGGGGGCGCGCGGTCGAGGACCTCGGCGCACAGGCGGCCGCGGTCGTAGGGCAGCCTCTCGGCCCGGACGGCCTCGAGGATGTAGCCGAGGACGGCGTCGGGTTGTAGGGGCGGGTCGCGGACCAGGGCCGCGACGGCGGCCGGGTCGAGGTCCGGGTTGTCGAGCCAGACGCGGTAGGCGCGCAGCGCGGCCTTGGGGGCGCGCGGCCTCCTCGTCGTTGTGACCGTGGTGGTGGTGGTGGTCGTCGTCTTGGTCGACGCCGTCATGGTCGAGGACGTGGTGGTTGTCGTGGTCGACGAGTTCAGCGAGTCCTGGTACTGCTCGAGCCACTCCTCGGCCGCCAGGAGCCTTTCGTCATGGAGCCTTTCTTCCTTTTGCCGCTTCGTGGTTGTTTTAGTTGATTTCGTTTTGCGCGTGGGCTTTGTGTCGTGGCTGACAGCCTCGAATTCTGGTGCCGATAACTGCTGAGCAGCCTCCAGGCCAGCGTCTTCCCATCCCGCAGACGACTCCTCTAGGAACCCTGCCGCCTCCTCTGCGAATGGTTCCGCCAGCCCATCGCCGACTTGCTCGGCCGCAAGTTCGTATTCTTCAGCCACCTCCTGCTCGACTGCAGAGTCCTCCTCTTCAACCAGCTCTTCCTCCTCGACTCTGGCTTCTTCGAGCTCTTCCTCGACCGCGAGTTCATCCTCAGCCACCAAAAACTCGTCTTCCTCCTCCTCCTCCTCCTCCTCCTGCTCCTCCTCGACTACGTGCTCGTCCTCATCAACCACAGCCTCCTCCTCCTCCCCCTCCCCCACGAGTTCCTCGTTCGCCTCGTCGGGGTCTGTGCTGAGATCAGGTTCGGCCAGCCTGATTGGGAGGTCATGCTCAACGTGGTATGGCCGCGGTGGCGTTGGGTGGAGATTCTGGCGCTGCTGCTCCAGGACGTCATAAATTTGTATCGCGGCGTAGGCGTCAGAGGCCGAGTCTGTAACCCCTAGTGTCAGCAAGGCCTCCCAAGCGATGTTATCCAACAGTTTTACGAGCGGAGACAAACGCACAGAGTATCTGGTCCATCTGCAGCGGAGACTTCCACCACTGGCTCCATCGGACGTCGATGCCCTTGTACAGCGGGAGCCCGAGCGTGGTCAAGGTCTGCTCCGCCAGCGACACGAGGCGCTTGTTTATCAGGTTCGTCTCGCCTGTCCTGGAGTACTTGACGAGCCTGAACAGGTGGCTCAGCTCAAAGACGCCCCGGGAGTCGATCTTGAGGAAGTTGCGCAGGCGCGTGCAGTCGGCCTTGATGGAGACGCCGCACTTTGTGATGGCCGGGTCCTCCATGATGCGCCTCAGCGTCGGGGCCACCACCGTCACGTCCTCGTTTGGCGGGAACAGGGCCACGTGGAAGAGGGCGATGCGGCTCGGGCTCGCGAGCTGGATGAGCGACACGTTCCTGCGCGGGCCCGAGTACCGGTTGGCGTCGAGCGCCCACTCGAGGTCGAACCCGAGAATCGTCTCGTCTAGGAAGTACTGGCACACCTGCTCCGTCGTGGCGCGGCTGCGGCAGTAGTGCACCTTGACCTTCTTGCCGCCGGGGCCGCGGTAGAAGGTGTACGACCAGTAGGACTCCCGGCTCTCCGTGGCGGCCCTCTTTGCCTCGCGGAAGGCCTCTGGGGGGAACTTGTATTCCAACGTCGTGGCTGGCGGCTCCTCGTCCTCTGCAAAGTCCTCCTCGGCCGCCTCATACCCCTCGACGAGGGGATCGTCTGATGCCGACTGGGCCTGGTCGCTCGGGACTGGGTCCTCCTCGTTCACTGCCTGAAGCAGCCCAGATTCCACAGATTCGACCTCCCAAGACGTCCCGCTGCTTATGGTGTGCAGAGCGCGGTGGGTGGCCAGGCTGTGTTCCAGCATATGAGGGCACTGTTGCGACTGCAAGAGGCCAAACTTGATGCCGTTGGACGAGTGCCACAGCCTCCAGCCGGGCGGGTGCGGGCCCTTGACGGCCATTGCGTGGGATGTGAGTCTCGGAGCGGCTGTGAAAGCAGAAAGCTGCTGATGCTGCTGATGCTGCTGGTTCTGCACGGCGGCATGCTGGCTCATCATGGGGGCAGCGGAGGCGAGAGCAGGTCTCGCCGCCACCAGCCCACGGGATTTAAGCCCATGGTTCATGGCCTGTGCGGGAATGTGTCATTGGCATCGCCCAGTCAGAGGCTGCCCATAAGCTCGTGAGGGGTTGTTAGGCAGACGCGTGGATCTGCAAAAGCCAGGAGGGAGAGGTGAGAGGTGATGCTGGTGGGAGTGGCACGCGGTCATGTGACTTGCCACAGTCTCTTTCACCTCTGATTCGGCGAGGAGGCTACACCAGAACTCCCCGTTAGTTGCATCGGCGCCAGCCCCACCGCCGCCCACCCCTCCACAGCCTCCTCCCAGCAGTGAATCGCAGCAGCAGCAAAGCCAGGGTCTTTCTTTGAGGAGCAAACGTCGCAATATCGCTGCATCTGTGGGAAAAGGCAAGACCAAATACCACAAAGATGGCTACCCAGCTGCTCCCCCTAGGTGAGTTTCTTAGCGCTTGTGTCTTGTCGCGCCCTCGTAATGTTTGAAACAAAACCTTGAGAGACCCGGCCCTGCGGACTGACCCTGAAAACCAGAGCTCATCGACAAGTGCGTCGGATCCCGCATCTGGGTCATCATGAAGGGTGATAAGGGTAAGAGATAGCTACGCCGTCACCACTGCTGCCAACATCACAACTCTTCGACTCACGTATATCACCTTTTTTTTTCCTTTAGAGTTCAGCGGTCTGTTGGTCGGGTTCGACGACTACGTCAGTAAGTCTACCAACCGCGTTCGCGCGCTCCCTACAGCCCACCTGATAGGACCTGACTGACGACCCAAAACAGACATGGTCCTCGAGGACGTCACCGAGTTGTGAGGCGCCCCCTATGTAGTCCTCGCTCCGTTCCGTCTTGGAATTACCGGCGCTTGGAGACTAACATACTCTGGCGCCGCTACAGCGACTACTCTGGCAACCACACCAAGCTCTCCAAGATCCTGCTGAACGGCAACAACATTTGCATGGTATGTACCGGATGGCCCCTTTGTGACCCGGCGCTTTATCTATTGACTTGCCCGTTATTAACCCACGCAAATCAGTTGATACCGGGCGGTGAGGGGCCAGTGCAAGCATGAGTGGGCGCGTATCTATCTGAAAAAAAAAGAGAAGCCGCATATAACTGAACAGTTGGATGCGTCGAAAGGATTAAATGTATGAGACGCCAGCTTATCTGTGGATCTCAGCTCTTCTCTTACCATTAAAAGCAGTCAAGGCAACCTGGGGAGCTCGACGGTTGCGGTTTTGACCAGAGGTCTTTCGGGGGAGGGAGACCTAGGTCCGGGGTGATGCCTCACCATAGTTTTGGAGGCGGCAGAGTCAAATCCATAAGGTGACGAGTAACAGCTGAAGATTTTGAGGCTGAGACTCTACCATGATGATGTGGGGGAGAGGGCTGATAGATGGAAAATCTACACCAGGATTAATCTTTTCTGTAATTACCAACAGCTGCTCTCTGAATGGACCAACTGTGGTTTCTCTCAAGTTTGTTGTGCGCGCCGCTCCTGACGATGCCGCGAATGCTGAGAAGATGGACGCATCAGAATTGCATGGAAATAACGGTGCCATAAATACCAATCTTCAAGGCACCCTCCGTTACCATAAAAGAAGAGCCCGAAAACGCCGTGGCGCCAAACAATATGCCCCCCTTGGTACAGCCTTGGCTAGTTTCCGCTGATAAGAGAAACAAAAAATGAAACCCCAGAGCCAGACCAAAAGAACGGATTGAAATACAGGCCCACGTCCCAGCCAAGACGCGTCAGTAGCCGTGTCCGGCCTGGTCCCCGTTCTGCTGCTCGCCGGCAGCGACCATGCGGCGCAGCTCGAATTCGCGCGTGAACTGGCTGCTGATCTGGCTGAGGAGCTGGACGATGGTCCGGCACGCCTCGACCAGGCAGACCTTGGGCGTGACCTTGCCGTCCGTCTGGATGCGCAGGAAGAACTCGGGCACGTTCGGGTGGCCGACTGCGCGGCGAATCCAAGGGTTGCGCAAGGTTAGCAAGCGGCGAGAAAAGGGAAAGACGGGAACGAACTGATGACCCCTCCCCACCTTTGTAGCCCGCCATCAGGACGTTGGGCTGCTGCTTGAGGTGCTCGCAGAGCAAGTTTCCCAACGTGTGGTCCTCCTTCATGAAAGTGAAGTCGGAGCAATTTGACATGGCTATTTTTATTCGTCCCACGGTAAGCCCAAGCTCCCATCACATCACCGGGGCGGGACAGGACAGGGCTGACTGGTGTTGATGGTCTCCGTGATCTTCTCTTCCCCATCGGCGAGGAGGAAGAGCTCGAAGCTATACGTCTGACGTGTTAGTGTAAGAACTATCGGGTGCGCACTTCACTCGAATGCAAAAGGGGAGAGACCCAACGTCATCGGCATGCAGTCGTGTTTAGGATTCATGGTGGGCAATCGTGGCAAGGGTAGTTTGATGTGTGAGAGTCTTTGTGGACGAGGCGAGCACTGGGGCAGGTCGTTTGACTTTGCAATACGAAGAAATCATGGCTTGCTGCATGGCGAGGGAGGCCCATGACCAGTTGCTCCTTCCTCATCCAGGTTTCTCGTGCCCAACAGGGCCCTCCGTGTGTGGTCCATGATTTCACGCATCTGCCACTCGGCACCGTCTACACTCCCTCTTGTCTGTCGCTGGGCGGTTTGACTGAAAACGCGTCATCGAATCCTCACTCCAGGGCCGTGGTGCCTGATGAGACGGCGGAGGAGACAGACACTGTTCTGCAGCACCAGCTGGGTGGATAACAAGGCTGTCGATTTTCATCTCGCCAGCGGTGTTGCACTAAAAAGAACTTTGCAAAATATGCGCCCCTCAAACCGGGATGACTGGCCCCTGAGGTTGACTTTGTCGTGGTGCGAAATGTGGTGCGAAAGGGATGAGAGCGGACAAGTGGTGAGAAGGCCAACGAGCAGAGGGGACTGCGCCAAGGTTTGAAGAACTCACCGATCAGGCGCGTTCATGATGACAAATGAACCGAGGCCGCGGATTAAACAATACCAAAATTAGCAAGCAATATGGGCGTTTCGTGCGAGTGTATCCAAGCAATAAGCAATAGCAAAGGGAGGGCTGCCGGTGATGTCGTGGAGCGTGTTTTGTCCAAAAAATCCGAACCCATGGGCGGCGACATGACAACGGCGTGGGTGAAGTGACGGGGGTGGAATGCTTTTAACGGGGCGTGTGGCGCGCCACAGCGGACTGTGGCATGCTGCAGCCACTAGCAATACCTAGGCCCTGGCTGCCTGTCACAACATTCACAGCTGACATCCACATCAAGCCGCACGCCGTTGTTTTCAACGATTCCATTATTCCAATCTGATATACCTGAGCTAATTCTAATTGCGCTAGGGGTGTTGGAAGTCCAGAACTATCTACAATTTCCATGCTGGGACAGGCACCTCTCTGCTTGTTGTACACTTTCTGAACAAGCCACCCTTCCTCCTCTTGAATAGTGTCCCGTTTATACGCTGTATGCAACTTCCCATGCAGGTCGAGGCAACTTGTGGGAAAAGAAAATGACGACGAGAAAGAATAAAAAATACAAGGCATAAAAAAAAACCTCTCAAGAGTCGCCGCCGACGGGAGACAGCAGAGCTCCCCAACCCGAACTTATTTGCTGACGAACTCTCCTTTCACGGTCTTCTGGAGTCGCAGTACCCCGGAAGGCTAGGACCTCCGCCAGATGAGGCCCAGGCCATGACAGTTAGGCTAGTAGTGTAGGCCATGGCGATGAAGCCAAGGATGCAGAGACCGATATCGGCCCCCTTCCAGAGCGCACTTCTAGCAACACCCTTGTAATGGAGAAGGGGCTATAGGCAGAACGGTCAGTACCACTGTCGACGAGACACGTGTCGGAGAAAGGGATGTGGCCGGCTGCTAAACATACCGGGTAAATGTAAACGAGAGGGATGCAGGCAAAGTTGCCCACCAGCGCCACGAACTTGTCCAGGTTGTCGGCACCACCCCAGGCGAGAGCAGCGCAGCCCGCAACCACGAGGAAGCGGAACAGGTTCTTCTGCCACTTGATGTAGGGGTTGTACTTGCCGCTGCGCGTGAACAGCCCATTCTCCATGATCCGAATTGCCGGGAAGATCTGCAGCGGTGTCGACAGAAGGATGGCGAGCGAGTACAGGAACTGCACAGCGTTGACCATCTTGTTGTCCTGGGGCAGGTTCAGAAGCACGACCGTCTCCGTCTTGGAGCCGTAGGCCGCGTACGACACAGCGCCCATGGTGACGAAGATGGTGGTGATGATGATCATGATGGCGAACATGACTTTGGGGAACTTTCTCGGGTCCTTCATCGACTCCTGAATAGGGATGATCAGCCCAATACCTTCAAACGTGAAGATGGCGGTGCCAATGAACAAGGTCCAGTCCTTCTGGTTGAACATGGTGATATCCGCCAGCCCGTTCGTGTTTAGCGTGAGCACGTCGTAGTAGAATAGATAGGCCAGTCCGATGACGATGAAGGCGTCGGCTATGAGCGCAGTAAACCCCAGCTTGTTGATGTCGCGCAGCAGCGAGAAGGGCAGGAATATGATCATCTGCATCAGGATGAGATACTTGACGTCGATCATGGTCTTGCAGTCGGAAACGGCCAAGATGAAGGCCTGTAGGTTTTCCGAAGTGAATACAATGTATGCGGCAACGAACCCGACTTGGCTGATGACGATAGACGTCAGGATGAGAAGTCGCATCCACTTGCCATACAGGATCCCACCAATATCACCAAAGGAGCCTTCAACCTTGAGCCGGGTCGTGACGAGGAGGACGAAGCAGTAGTAGCTGAGGGCGGCGACTCCAAGCAGCACGAGGTTACTAAAGAGCATACCGCCGTTGAGGTACGCTCTGGGCAGGAACAGCACACCCGTGCCGACAAAGGACTTGAGCAACACGGCAGCGGCGCTCATGGGTGTGGCCTTGCCGCTGCCACCACGGTGCTTCCTCCTGCGCTTGCGCCGCGAAGGGGTGAGCAGTGCGCTATCTTCCATTGGCTCGCGGTCATCGTCCGAACCGTCGTAGCCCGCGGCCGAGAGATCCTCGTCGCCCGAGGAGAAATACTCTCCTGGTCCGAGGGCCTCGTCGTCCTCCTCGAGCTCCTCGCCCGCAAAATGGCCATATATCGAGAGGAACTCGAGGAAGCTCGAGGTGAAGAGAGGGGTATCATGCGAAGATCCGGCACCAGTCTCGAGAGCGCTGGGGTTGGCCGAGGGACTCCTAGCCGCGCGGCGGAGGAAGTTGCGGCGGAACCCACCGGGAACCTTGATGTTGTTGATGTCCAGCACCTCGTGCTCCGGGTCAGGGCGGGGTACGCTGAAGCTCTTACTCCGCTGTACACGGTTTGTGGCGTCCTCAGTCCACTTGTAGATGGGACGCGTGATGTCACCACCCTGCAACCTCAAACTGGAGAACTCCTCGTCACCAAACCCTGGGCTGGCGGCCTCGGCCGCCTGTTTCCCTTTGCTAGAGTCTTCTGGGGTGTTTACCGCGTCGCTTGACTGGACGAGATGCCTCCTAACAATCTCGGCATCTTCGAACGCGCCGGCTGAGGTGCCATTGCCGGCCTGCTGCTGCTGCTGCTGCTGCAACAGGCGAGTCCTCGCCTCGAAGGAGCCGTAGTTTGTCGGGGTTCCGGGGCCGACAGGGACGGCCGAGGACGAGGCAGCGGGCGAAGCAGCCCTTACAGGAGGTGTACCGAACCGCGGCGGTGAGGTGCCGATGGTGTGGGACAAGGCAGCGGCCAGCGCCGAGATGCCGGGACCTGGAACAGGGCTGCCAGCGCCGGCAAGCGGAGTGAGGTCGCCAGTCGATTCCTGGCGGCGGGGCCCGGATGCTGTCTGGCCCAGGGCGGCCGAGGGGGAGCCAGTGAGCTGGGTCGGGAGCGGGGAGGCGAGGCGAGCGGTGGCATCGGCGCGTGGGATGGAGGAGCTGAGCGAGCCGCGGTAGGAGCCGCCAGGCGAGGACGCCATCTGCAGGATGCCTGGTCGGTTGAACTGGGACGGCGACTCCCGATCTGTATTGGACATTGTGACGCGTGTGCTCTAGTACGAGTGACAGAGGCCAATTCTTGTCAGAGAGCCGAAGCGGAGCGGCGAGTTGGGCGAGTTGGGCGAGTTTGGCGACGGTTTGGTCGGTCAGTCGTGAGCAAGCAGAAGGCTGGGGACGGATTAAGCTCGCACGCCCAGGTTCGGGTAATGATGGGCGCTAGCACAAGCCGCCAGAGGCCCCAAGACACAGTGCGTTCGGCGGGGAGGTCCGCCGCTAAAGACCTCCGGAATAGGAAGCCCGATAGCGGCCAGGGTGGCGAGCAGGCTATCGCGACAAGGTCGTGTTACAGCGGGCTAGCGAGGGCAGGTGGTGTTACCGCTTCGTCTGGTTGAGAGATAGGGCCAGAGAGAAAGAACCGGAATTGCGGGGAAAACGCTGTAGAAGTGATGTCGGTCTGATATCCAGGTGTGAAAGAGGGAAGAGAAAAAAATACTATCACAGAGTGCGTCAAATGAACCCGACGTCTGGTGGGTTTGACTCGTGACGGCATCGCAGAGCCCACCGGTCTGACCTTCTGCCTGGGAAGCTCTCCCTGCAGGCCAGTCGGCGGGCCAAGCGCGCCACGCAGGGTCCAGCTGACTGACCCTGGAAAAGCGGTCGACTGCGACTGAGGCTCATGGTCAGGATTGAGAAGTCGGAGTCAATCAATGGATGGCCACACATGTCGTCTTCCCAAAGCCGAGGCGCAAATGCCAACACTTGCTGCGCCGATCACGGTATTCGGTGATTGGGGCTGACACGCACCGAGACCGTTATTAGCTCGCGATTTCCTCAGCTCGTTCCACCCATCTCGGTCTCTACACCGCCAAGGCCAGTTCAACATATCATCCCATCCGGCAAGCTAGACTGGCGCAGGCTCCCCCAGTAAATAATCAATGAATGGCAGCTACAAGTTGATGCACTGGCCCAGACAGCCTGCATGGTCGGGTGACTCGGCTTGTGGGGGGATTTCAATGCTTTGCTCTGCCGTGCTAATGTCAGGCCGTGGGGGTCATGAGCGACTTGTGCTAAGCTTGTCGACTTCAGGTCCCGCGGTGCTTTCGGCAGCCACTGCCCCAGACGTGCTGTGGTGTGGGGCCGAAGGATAACCCTCACAAAACTAGCTGCTAAGGCAAATCGCAAACTGCGTGACAAGGCGCCGACAGGACGCGTTCTATATCGTCAACCGCGTCTTGTCTGACGCGCGGGGATATCACATCACCGGGCCTAGCGAGCCCAGGTTCAGGGCCGGGATCCGAAGAAGCGAAGGGCGATTCACTCATCGCGACTTTCAATAAGGCGAATTGGAGCTGGTGGGTGGGCCACGCAAATTAAGTCGGGTCGGTCAGCCAATAAAATCCATGTAAACAGGAGCCACCAGTGGCCAGGCGACAGCCCGAAGCGGCCAGCGTACCGTCGATGGGCATAGAAAAGATCGGGGGTTCAGCTGGGCCCGATTTCCGAGGCTCGAGGGGGGCCTGCTGTCCTTTACTGGTAGCTTGTTGGTCCCAGAAAACGTGGGTGCCCGACAAAGGTCGACGCTGGTCGCTTCGTGTCTCTCACAACAGAGATATATACAGAAATTAGCACTCTAGGCTGTCTGCAGTGCTGAGGCTCGACCGAGCTTGCACAACGTTGCCCAACATGTCGCGCTACTCGCTCAGGGAGACTCCTAGGTAAGTATCGATGCCTCCGTCATCCGCGAGACGGGCGAGGCCGGTTAGCTAACATGGGAGGACTGGGCTGGTGCTGTAGGAAGAAGGCGCTCTTCGAGGGCATGGTCGAGACTCCGGCACGCCGCTCCACGCGCCGGAAGTCGCAGCCCCCGGACGGTGACACGAGCTCCGCCGCCGAGAGCGACGCGCCCGCCACCAAAACCCGCCGTCGAGGCATTCCCAAGTTCGTTGAGCATATTGAAGAGACCGAGGAGTCCGAGGTTGGCTCTGTTGTTGGCTCCGAGTCCTCACCACTCGCCTCGTCTTTCAGCCCGGCCGAGGTCAACGAGCCCGGTCTGCGGAAGCGGATTAAGGAGGAGCCCGCGGACGATGACGCCACCCTCAGGAAGGCCAAGCCAAGTAGCAACGGGAACGCAGGGGTGGCGCCCCAGGAGAATAGCAAGGGCAAGACCGAGGGAGAGCTGGTGGCCGACGGCTGGAGGCCCGGCCTCGACCACCGCATCGACTACTCGGGCGTCAAGGAGTTCGGCGGCTCGCTGGGCACCGGGGCCATGATGATCGGGTTCCCGACGCTCATGTACTACATGTGGATCGGGGCCACGTACTACAACGGCAAGGCGCCCGCCCCCGCGCCCGGCCAGAGCTGGGAGGACTTTGGGCGCCACATGGTCAACCTGGCCTATACGGGCGCCTTCCCGCACGCCAAGGCCTGGGCCATGTACTGGATCTTCTTCGTTTTCGAGATGGCGCTGTACTGCCTCGCCCCAGGCATCTGGGGCAAGGGCAAGCCGCTGGCCCACGAGGGTGGCAGGCAGCTCGACTACTACTGCTCGGGCGTATGGAGCTGGTACATCACCATGGCGGCGGCGGCCGGCCTGCACTTCTCTGGCGTCATGCCGCTCTACACCATCATCGACGAGTTCGGCCCCATCATGAGCGTCGCCATCCTGTCAGGCTTCCTCGTCAGCATCGTCGCCTACTTCTCGGCCATCTTCCGCGGCAAGCAGCACCGCATGACGGGCAGCTTCCTTTACGACTTCTTCATGGGTGCCGAGCTCAACCCGCGGATGTTCGGTATCCTCGACTTCAAGATGTTCTTCGAGGTGCGCCTGCCGTGGTACATCCTCTTCCTCACTACGTGCGGCCTAGTCTCGCGCCAGTACGACCGCTACGGCTACGTCTCGGGCGAGGCCTGGTTCCTGCTCATGGCCCACTTCCTCTACGCCAACGCCTGCTCCAAGGGCGAGGAGCTCATCATCACCACCTGGGACATGTACTACGAGAAGTGGGGCTTCATGCTCATCTTCTGGAACCTGGCCGGCGTCCCGCTGACCTACTGCCACTGCACCATCTTCCTGGCCAACCACCACCCGGACGAGTACCGGTGGAACAGGGTCTTCCTCGGCTTCCTGTTCGTCGCCTACCTCTTTGTCTACTGGGTCTGGGACTCGTGCAACTCGCAGAAGAACCGGTTCCGCGCCATGGAGCGCGGCCACATGGTGGTGCGCAAGGCCTTCCCCCAGGTGCCCTGGCAGACGCTGCACAACCCCCGCACCATCCCGACCAGCACCGGCAGCGCCATCCTGGCCGACGGCTGGTACGGCCTCGCCCGCAAGGTCCACTACAGCTGCGACGCCTTCTTCGCCATCACCTGGGGCCTCGTCACGGGCTTCGGGAGCCCCTTCCCCTGGTTCTACCCCGTCTTCTTCTGCAGCATGATCGCCCACCGCGCCCACCGCGACATCCAGCGCTGCCGCACAAAGTACGGCGACGCCTGGCTCGAGTACGAGAGGACCGTCCCCTACCTCTTTATCCCTGTGAGTTTTTCCTCCACCCCCTCCGATCCTAATCATTTTCAACTTTCTTTTTTTTTTTTGCTGATCGAGGCCTGCCCTGCCCAACCACAGTATGTCTTCTAAACATCCCTTTTATCTGCAAATTCCCGAGACTTCCGACCTCCAGCTTGGCCCCCCCGTCTGGGAGCCAAACCACCACTTCATCTAATGCCCACCTTCAAACTTTCTTGTATATAAAAAGTTTGAAATTTTCTACAGCTCTTTTAGTACATAATCATGACGGCTGTCTTGCAGGGTTTGGTCTGGAATACAAAAATATGGGAGCATGGGGGTCTGTGGAGGCGCTTTGGCGGAAAAGAGCAAGTGGGCTCATAATCATGTTCGACAAGCTGTCGGACGCCTTTTCTCATCATCAACTCGAGGCGAATTGGTGCTGCGGCAGCCTTGATTGCCTGGTAATTTCAAATTGGTGCACCTCGTCACCATAAAGCAGACCAGTTTCGACACCTTGGCTAGTGTATGCAAAATTTTGAGATTGGGAAAACCCTAGACTATACAAACTCTTGCTTGCCCACCAATAAGTCCAAGATGAACGCAAGACGAACCCAATACCACCCAAAAGCACTGATTGTATGAAAAGATTTGCCGATAGTACATGTATGACCGCACCAACGCATCCATTAACTGCTTAACGATGCCAACCCTGACCAGAAAACACTTTTGTCCGCAACTCGGCGTTCTGGTATCTTCCCCGTCCATTTCCTCGTGCAAGATGCTTGATCAGCGAGGAAACAGTATGTCGTTCTGTTTGACGGCAGTCAGACGCCGGCAGATGAATAATCCAACCAAAGCTGTTTGAAGCTACAAACTGCTCAGACATCCAATAAACTGCAACATTGGCGTGTCTGCACTTGCTCTCGGGACGTGTGCTCGCTTATTGGCACTTGACGCCGACCGTGGCCTTGGAGTTCATGAGAAGGGCGACAATCAGTCCGTACAGACCTAGAGGGTTTTGTCAGTTGTGCAATCAGGTAGGGACAAGATAGAGGATGAGGAGTCATCATGTCGTACCCAGAACTTCGGCGAAAATGAGAATCAGGATCATGCCGACGAAGAGTCTAGGCTGCTGGGCCGTGCCGCGCACGCCAGCGTCGCCGACAATACCAATGGCGAAGCCAGCAGCCAGACCGGCAAGGCCGACAGCCAGACCAGCACCAAGCTGAATGAATCCGGTGTAGAGGGCGTATTCATTCTGGCTCAGGTTGTCCGAGATCAGGACGGAGACGACCAGGCCGTATATACCAATGATACCGGCCATAATAACAGGAACGATGTCTGAGCGAGAACAGATGACGTGTCAGCAAGTGGGCATGTGGACTTGGATGCTGGCAGTCTCAATGAGACGGGTTGCCAGGGTCATAAAGGTCATGATCTGTCCGCCGAGGGATCCTCACTCTTGACAATCAGGTCCGGCCGGAGGACACCCATAGCGGCGATACCGACGCCAGACTTGGCAGTTCCGTACGAGGCGCCGAAGCATGTAAAGACGATGGCAGCCGTGCAGCCCATGGCGCCGAAGAAGGGCTATTCATTGTGTCAGTACGTGTTGGGCAGTCTGCTGTGGAACTCTGTCGGGGCTGGTTTCGGAATCGAGTCGCCCATTCGACGGTCCGCGGGAGCGCAATCGCGACGAGTTCCATCGGGAAGTACTAACCGCGTACGCCGGGCTGATAGGACGGATCCGTTAGCAATTGTATCCTGTAGGGATCGGGGGGAAATGCACGACCAAATGCTGTGATGGAGTCGGGCTCGGAGTGCAGGATCATGGCCGAAGCTCGGGGGTTCGGCAAACGTCATTTAAAAGGAGGCGCGGAAACACTAACCAGAGTTCTGTGGGAGACATTGTGCTGAGGATGTGATTGAAAGCTACAAAAGGAAGTAGAGTCGACCGGCGATTCGATCAATGGATGGCTGAAGGCGATGGCGGTGGACGCGATGAAGGCCGGCGGGCTGATAGCGTTGTTGTGTTTGGCGACGAGTGCTGATGGATGGAGGTGTTTCCAGGTTGGCCAAATAACTTCCGGGGCGAGTTTTGCTGCGAAAGCTTGGGGGAGCAACCGCTGCCCATTGTTAGGTAATCACGCACGTCCCGAGGTCCGCGCTCGACAAGGGGTGACGGCACTCACTAGCTCTGTCAGGTGATGTGGCGCACGCAGGCCGTCGAAACAGAAGAGCGCCAAGCCAGTTCGTCGGCCCCACATGAGCGGGAGCTCCAATGCGGGCGCGAAGGTGAAAAAAAAAAAAGTCCGGTCGGAATGGTTTCTGTTTCCCATCGCTATCCACACGTCAAAATCTGGTCTTCACCATCAACGAACAGGGCGAGCCACAGCAAGGAACCCTGGGACGTTTAACGCCTTTGCCGCACCTACGCTCTCTTCCCCTCTTGATATCTCTATTCCAACGCAGTCATGTCTGCCAACGAATCTGCTGGTGCGTAACCTCCCTCCGACAGCAACATGAGTTCTAGGCAGCTAACCAACCGCCGCTCGTCATAGCCTGGCCCCTGGCCGATGCCGCCCTCACCCAGGAGATCCTCGACCTAGTCCAGTCGGCGAGCCACTACCGCCAGCTCAAGAAGGGCGCCAACGAGGCTACCAAGACTCTGAGCCGTGGTGTTTCGGAGCTTGTCATCCTGGCAGCCGATTGCGAGCCGCTCGCCATTCTTCTCCACATCCCCCTTCTGGCCGAGGACAAGAACGTGCCCTACGTCTTTGTGGTGAGTTTCGGTCCGGCGAGCTCGCCTATACTGCCCCTCGCTCGCGTCACTAGGATACTCTCCACGCGCATTTGCTTTACAGATAGCTGACTGCTCCTCCCTCTTTCTGCAGCCGTCGAAGATCGCCCTCGGCCGCGCCTGCGGTGTTTCCCGCGCCGTCATCTCGGCCAGCATCACCAGCAACGAGGCCAGTGACCTCCAGGGCCAGATCCGCGCCCTGAGGGACAAGGTCGAGCGCCTTGCCATCTAAGTCGATTCGGGTATAGATAATCTGAAAGTCAAATAAAAGAGGAAAAACAAACTGAAATCATATTCCTTACCGAGAGGTGGAATTACAAGCGAGATGTGGATATTTCTTGGGGCTTTTGGTTTAGCACCCATCTAATACAACACATTGTGCACCAGGTTCTTATATTTGCGCCTTGGATCTTTACTGTGTATGGCAGTATATCACGAACTTGCTCCTCTATTAGTGGCCCGACTGTCTGTGGATACATATTTCTCGGCTAGGAGGTACACCAGGGTCGGCAATATGCTCAAGGCCTATTAAGGCTGTTACTCGCGACAATAACTGCCTGCTCTGGTCGTCGATCAAAACTTGTACGATCTCTGTGGTGCCTTGTTTTGATGACAAGCTTCCGGATCCCTATTCGCCTAAGTGCTGTTAGCCGATGACTTCGGAATGGGCTATTAACCGACGTTGCCACCGTCGCCCGTCGTTGAGTCTAGATTCTTCAAGTAGAGCTTGGGATATTAGGTAGGGGAAAGGCCACAGGCATAACGAGGGGGCAGCGCCCGACGTTATGCAGAGGCTCTGCCTTGGAAATATACTCCTTAGCCCCTTTATTCTCTTCAGCAAATCTAGTTACTCACATCCGATGTCCTTGCTATCTATTGGGCAGCTCTACGCACAGCCCGAGATCCTTTTTTCTCCAGGCCCCAATCTTGCTTCAAGCTAAGCAAAGAGTGGCGAGGTGACATTGGCCAGTCCTCGCGGTATTGGGCAGCAGATATCACATATTGGTCATGTGAACCCAGCCCGGTCTTGGACCTGCCAAAAGCGTGTCATGCACTAGCAATCGCATGCACCAACCAATAGGCAGGCAGGTGAGCCTGCACTTCCACTTGGGGAAAAAAGGGCACCCAGCAGCTGGAGCGCAGCGCACGAATGACGCAAGTCCCTGTGCCCCGCCATCTGCGCTGAGTGATGAGAGATGTAAGGAGAAAAGTCCCATCGACCCGAACCGCGGGCGCTCCGTGGGGGACCCCTCAGATCTTGATGGATCGGCGATTCGTCCGATTTTATCTTCTGCCGCGAATCTGAACGTCGTTCCGTTCCCCCATCGTTCGCATTACTCTTTTTCGGAACGTGCGGGGGTTTCTTTCCTTTTTTGTGAACATCTTTTTATGTGATAATACCCCTACCCATCGGTTGCCGCCCCTTTCGTGCTCCTTGTGCGACAGTCGCCGCCGCCGCCGAAGCCGCCATGGTCGGCCTGGCGCGCAAGATATTAGTATCCGCGGCTGTAGACGGTCTCGTCTTGCAGCCGCTATCGTCCAAGAAAGACCCCCGGCCACCAGCCTCTCCGGTGAAACTCAAGTACGGCGATGCGACCGTCTCTCACGCCTCGAGGGAGGTTCCCGGCGATGCAGTGGCCAAGCCCAACGCCTCGTTCGAAAGCTTCGGCATCATCGGTCTGTACCCGACCCCTACTTGCGCCTCCGCCAAGGAATTAGAACTGACCCCGACTTTCACATCTCCCTTATTCCATCCTGTTTCTTTCTCCCGTACAGGTCTCATAACAGTCCCGCCGCACAGCTACCTCGTAACCATAACCCGCCGCCAGCAGGTCGCCTTGGTGCGCGGCAGGCCCGTCTACGTTGTGACCGAGGTCGCCCTCACGCCCTGCTCGTCGCAGCCCGAAGCCACCGAGGCCATCGCGCGAACCGCCGCGCACCTGAAACGGGCAGCGGCAGCCTCCGAGGCCACAGCGGCCGGCGAAAGCGCAACCGACAGCAGCGACAGCGACGACGAGAACGCGCCGCCGGCGCCAGTCGTGTCCGATGACGTCAGTGACGACGCGGCGGAGCCCGACGACAGCCGCGGCCGCCCGCGGTCCATCACGAGCATCGCATCGGATGTTATGAACAAGAGGGGCGGCTACGGCCGCTTCGCGCAGCGGTGGTTCAGCGGCGGCGGTTGGATGCAGGACCAGAAGCGGAGCATGGGCCTCAGCAACGGCCCGCCCGTCGCCCAGCAGGATGCTGCCGCTGCCGACGGGAGTGATGGAGACAGCAGAAAAGGGGGTGTGCCTAGCCCTGAAGGCCCGGCTACTGGGGACGCGGTCAAGGCAGAAGAAACAGCGCAACCCACCATGGGCAGTGCGGCGGCCTTGTTGCCAAAGCTGTTGCGTACCACCCAGATTCTGTTTGGGACGTCGCGCAGCTTTTTCTTCAGCTACGACCACGACATCACCCGAAGCCTCTCATCGCAGCCTCCGAACGCGGCCCAGTCCGAGCTGCCTCTTTGTCGGAGGGTTGATCCAGTCTTCTGGTGGAACAGACATGTACTGAAGCGGTTTGTCGAAGCCGGGGCCGATGCGTTCGCTCTCCCCTTGATGCAGGGCTTTGTAGGCCAAAGAACGTTCGTCGTCGACAGCGATCCTCCCCAGGTCGACGAAGGGGTCAAGGATTCGCTTGAGATGAGCGACCTGAGGTCGAGGCCCCAGTCCGGCACTGCTTCTCCCCAAAATGAGCGACTCTCTGAGAGCCTGAATCGCCGGTCTTCTGAGAAGATCTTTGATATCACCATAATATCGAGGAGGTCTGTCAAGCGGGCTGGCCTGCGCTATCTGCGGCGCGGTGTCGACGACAACGGTAACACGGCCAACTTTGTCGAAACAGAGCAGATTCTGTCGCCTGCCGAGGGCAGCGCTGCGGAGAAGACATGCTCATTCACCCAAATAAGAGGAAGCATCCCGCTCTTCTTCGTCCAGAGCCCCTATTCCTTGAAGCCGGCACCCGTAATCCAACATTCCCCCGAGTCCAACTACCAGGCTTTGAAGAAGCACTTCTCAATGCTCAAGACGCAGTATGGCTCGCTCCAGGCTGTAAATCTGGTCGAAAAGCATGGCATCGAGGCTTCTATTGGCGAACAGTACGAGAAAGGCGTTCAAAGATTAAACGAGGAAAGCGGCCCCAGCGAAGGTGTTCCGTTCGAGTGGTTTGACTTCCACTCCGAATGTAGGGGAATGAAGTTTGAGAACGTGTCGAAGCTCGTCGACATACTTGGAAAACAGCTTGAGCGCTTCGGAAGCACTGTCGAGGTCAACGGAGAGATTGCTTCGCGACAGGCTGGCGTCTTGAGGACGAACTGTATGGACTGCCTCGACAGGACAAACGTCTGTCAGAGCTCGTTCGCCAAATTCATGCTGGATCATCAGCTGAGCCAGCAAGGCTTCGACATGTCTGCTCAGCGAGATCAGGAGACGGCCTGGTTCAACACGCTATGGGCAGACAACGGCGACTCCATCTCGAAACAGTACGCGTCGACCGCGGCTATGAAAGGAGACTACACGAGGACCAAGAAGAGGGACGTCCGCGGGGCGCTGACAGACATTGGTCTGTCGGTCAACCGCCTGTGGAGCGGGTGAGTGTTCCAATATGGATTTCTTCCTGCGCATTCCTATGTTCGAGACGAAGCGATACAGCGGCTTATCTAACAGAGAAAACAATAGCATGATAAACGATTTCTTCGTCCAGACGACAATAGACTTCCTTTTGGGGAACGTCACCGCCATGGTGTTTGATGAATTCGAAGTCAACATGATGTCCCAGGACCCGGCAGTTTCAATGCAACGGATGAGGGAGCAGGCCATCGAGCTGTGTCAGAAGAGAGTTGTGGCTGACGAGAAAGAGGAGTTCATCGACGGCTGGACAATGCTGACGCCGCACACGTCCAACAGCCTGACAGCCCAGCCATTCGAAGAGGCTGTCCTCCTCCTCACCGACGTCGCCATGTACCTGTGCAGGTTCGACTGGAATCTGGATAAGGTCTCCTCCTTTGAGCGCGTCGAGCTAGCGAGCGTGAAGAAAGCCACGTTCGGAGCGTACGTCACGTCCACCACGGCGCCGTGGCAGCTGGACGAGACAAAAAACCAGGGAATCTTGGTGACATATAAGCCGTCAACAAAGGACGTCATCCGCGTCAACACCCGGTCCTTGTCGGCGTCCTTTGGAAAAATGGATGACAAGGACAAGGCCCCGGACGCGCCAGGACCGGTAGGGCTCGCTGGCATCCTGTCCCGTCGGCCCGCTCCGCCAGCGGAGAGGAAAATCGCTCTCAAGGCACTCTACTCCCTATCATCACTCGCCGAGTCGAGCGGGGGTAACGGCCTCACTGAAATTCAGCAGGTGGTGAGCATCAGCGCCCAGCTCGAAAGGCTCATAGCCCTCAACACGCCCATATCAGCAGGCTCCAAGCGGGAGAGCATCCTTGAGAGCGGCGATATCATCTCGGCCGCTGAAGCCAAACGAAACGCGGGGCTGCTCGAGCAGCTTGGGTATTCGATCAGGAAGCTCGTGTGGGCTTGATCTGCATCTTGGTTGGTTGGTTTATGTAGGGTGCCCAGGTGTAATGGACCTCGTTCGACTGGCTAAGGCGACTTTGGCTTGAATGAAGACGGAGCGGCGGCGTCTGGGGTTGATGGGTGCAGACGCCGATGACATGGGGCGACGTTCTTTCAGTGATATCCAGTAGAAAGGTAATATAGCAGCAATAATTTCTTGCCGCAGGCTGCGCTGCAATACACATTATCTCTTGGATCACACCGGCTTCGAGACACGATATAGGTGCAGCTGGTAGCGCATGTTTTCTAGAGGGATCGGATAGCTCAGGCCGGTAGGGAGACGGAACCATAGCGAGTCGTGAGACTCAAGCTTGACCCAATCCCAATCCTCGGCTTCTGAAAGCACCTTGTTGAGGAGCCAGCTCATGGGATAACGCTTGGACTCCTTGCCCACCACGGCCTCCGAGTAGCTGCCGGGGCTGTCGATGACGAGCAGCAGGGACCCGGACGGGACGCTCGCCGAGAGGTTGAGCAGGAACGCCGTCGTCTTGCCGATGCCGCCGCCGGTGAACAGCTCGTTGAGGGTGAAGAGCAGCGTGACCAGGCACGGAGGTGAGGAGGAGGTGGTGGTGGTGGCCTCCTGCCCCGCCGCGCCCGGAAACAGGGCGCCGTAGCCGGCGGCGTCCAGCGCGAGGGCGTCGGCCCGGACGAAGGCGGTCTTGAAGCGCGAGGGCTCGACCAGCGCGCGGTTAGAGGCCCTGGCCTCGGCGCTGGCGTACTTTGACAGCGTCGGCGGCCTCGTGAGGCCGGCCGCGAGGGCGTCGACGACGGAGCCCCAGGGGCCCGAGTCGAGCAGCACGACAGACCCGGAGGCGGCGGGCCGCCGGCGGAGAAAGGCGGCGAGCGCGGCCACCTCGGCGGCCCCGCCGCCTATAGCCAGCGCCCTGAGCTCGCCACCGCCTGTGGAATCCTTGCTGCTGCTGCTGCTGCTGCTGCTGCCACCCTCCCCGTCGTCGTCGTCGTCGTCGTCGGCACCATCGAGCGGCGGCGGTCGCCGTGGGGACAACAGCAGCAGGCCGTCAAGGTGCGTGGCGACGCCCGACAGCGCGTCGGCGTAGCACAGGGCCCTCGTGGGGCTGTAGCGGGCGGCGTAGACGCGCAGGTTGGCCTCGGCGCCAAAGGCGGCGTCGAAGTCGCGCTCAAACAGGGCCTGCTTGATGGCCTGCAGGGCCGGCGCGAAGGCGTCCGAGGCCAGCTCCGCGGCGAACGCCTCGGCGAAGACGGCCAGGATGCGCTTCTGGTCCGGCGTCCCGACGGCGGGTCCGCCGCCGCCATCCTTGTCCGCGGCGACTGTCGAGGAGGTTAATTTGCCGTGCCCCGTCCCGGCCTGCTTCTTATTGCTTTGTGGCTTGGCATGACTGGGGGACGCCTTTTTCCCCGGCTGTCTCTTTGCCATTGGTGTTAAAGGCTTCGTTGAGTGATGTGCTTTCAAAGGTCACACTTGATATTGAGTGGAATGTGAATAGCTTCGACAGTCGGAGGAGAGAATTTGATATTCGAAAAATGTAACCCTAACCCCTTGGAGTGGCTATGGGCTCTCAGCCATCAAAAATTAGATCCGCCTCCCGCTCCGGATAGAAGTCCGAATATTTATATGTAAAGCTAAAATAGCAAATATTTAGCCCGTTATCGCTATGCGCTTCTGATTATCTAGTGCTGGAAGGGGAACACTAGATCGAGCCTGCCACGACGAGCAAATATAAACGCTGCAATTCCGGCGACTGTAGCCTGTCCTATGCGTCTATTTTTTATCCTACTTTCTCTACTCCTTCTGATGTCTATAGTTTACTCCAAGTGCACATTTTGTTCGAGGAGCGTGCCTGCCTGTCTCTCTTTTCGACATGAGTTCTGGTTGGAGCGCATAACTTCTATGTGGCGCCTCCGCCAATGGGACTGTTGGTTCCAAAGGCGTGGACAGGGTCCGTCTGTCTTGAAATGTTCGGCGAGGTACTGTGTATGCAAGCGCACGGTAAATCCGTGGCTGACGGAAAACAATTGACCTGTCTTCGGGTCTGTGTTATCCTCAACAGGCACCCCCTATTTGGACTGTCACGGAACTTCCATGAAAGCCCCTTGGGTAAGCAAGGCTGCTCGAGTTGGCAAAAGGAATGCCTCCATGACACAAATTCACCGTCAGGGTCCATCACAGCCGATTCGGATGACCTCAGCGGGTCTGGTGGCGGGGCTCAATGATACACACACCTGTTCCCAGCGAGCTAGCACGGGAGGTCCCACACCCAGTATCAACCAGCATTACGTTAATGAAGTACTATTGCGGTGTTTTCAGCTTTCGCTTTTTCGAGAGAGCGAGGCCGGAGATGCCAAAAGCATGGCGGCGCCGGGCACCTAGTGAAAGCCGGAGATGCAAATGATAGCACGACGAGTAGGTATTTTGCACAATGGCATCTATCTCCTGGTTTTCCGTGGGCGTATTGTAGCACAAGACCCCTCATCTGTTACCGCTTTGCACGGCAAGAGCAAGCCATGGAATCCACCATTATGACGGCTTGCTGAGTGAGCGACACCAAGCATGACACCAAGCATGACCTAGCAGGGTGTGCTATGATTGATCATCGTCGCGGAGGATGTCTTCTTCATCAATCCATGCTCAGGAGGCTAAAATCCGAGGGTCTCAAAAGCTGCCGCGGGGTTGGCGGGGCGTCGGTTTTTGCCAGTCAAAGCTCGTGGTTGTATCATGATTGGGTCATGACCAGGTCTGGGCGGCGATGGCTGCATTATTCAGGCCGGCAATGGGCATGGGTGGCAACGGCTCCCGTCAGGTAACAACGGTGCGCGAATTGGAATTGCAACGGAAGCCACAATTCGACTCGCAACACAGAGGTCGCTCGGCTGGGTCGGCGACACGCCCTGGTGCTACAACACCAAGCTGCCAAGGAGGGGCAGCGTGGGAGCTCAATGCCCGCAAAAAAAGCTCCTGCGCGGAGGCGACCCCCAAAAAAAGTGACCCCACCTCGGAGCCAGAAACGGTGCCAAAACGCCTCAACGTAGGTGCGTCTCAACAGTACCCGGCCATAAAACCTGGAGACCAGACATCACCTTTCTCTCGGCCCTCTCGCCGAACTCTCCTCTCCCCACTGTCCACCCATCCTCCCCAAATCTGTCCGGTCTCTGAGGAAGAGGCTACCCCTACCGCAACACCTGCCAGACAACCTTGACCAGCAATCATGGGCTTCACCGAGACGGACAAGCTCTCCATCAACACCATCCGTGTTCTTGCTGTAAGTTCAACACACCTAGCTGTTGACCAAGCACCGCTGGAGGTGCATGGAGTAGAAGTAGCGGCTAGATCTTTCCTCCAACACCATCATCACCTATACCCCCCATCCCCGACGATGCTTCCCAAGCCCGGTCAGGGATCAAAAAACGATGGACAAGAGCAATGCTAACACGGTCGCCCGATAACAGGCGGATGCTACTGCCAATGCGAACTCGGGCCACCCCGGTGCGCCAATGTAAGAACCATACTCCCAGATCCCACTCGCTCACATCATTTTATCGCTAACGACATGCTTCTCTCCTGAATAGGGGCATGGCGCCCGTCGCCCACGTCGTCTGGGACAAGTTCATGAGGTTTAACCCCAAGAACCCCAAGTGGCTGAACCGCGATCGTTTCGTGCTGTCGTAAGTTGAATCCCCAGAGACTTCTTGACATCCCTCGCTTTTAGAAATATAGAGAGTTTGCTGACTTGTCTTCCCCTGTTTGCTATAGCAACGGCCACGGTTGCATGCTCCAATATGCTCTGCTGCACCTGTTCGGCTTTGCCGTCTCCATGGACGATCTGAAGAAGTTCCGCGTACGTACCTCAGCCCTGCCCCCACGAAGCTTCAGGCAACCAGCCTCGCTATATCCCAAAGATTACTGGCAAACGGAACCTAACGTTCGGCGCAAACCCTACACAGCAAGTCGACAGCATTACCCCTGGCCACCCCGAGGCCCACGACACCCCCGGCATTGAGGTGACCACTGGCCCCCTGGGTCAGGGTATCTGCAATGCCGTCGGTCTGGCTATTGCGCAGGCGCATACCGCCGCCACCTTCAACAAGGACGGCTTCAACCTGATCGACAACTACACATACTGCTTCCTCGGCGATGGCTGCCTGATGGAGGGTGTCTCCAGCGAGGCCTGCTCCCTGGCTGGCCACCTCCAGCTTGGCAACCTGATTGCCATCTGGGATGACAACCACATCTCGATCGACGGTGATACCAACCTGGCTTTCACCGAGGACGTTGCCAAGCGCTACGAGTCGTACGGCTGGCACATTGAGGTTGTCAATGATGGCGATAACGATCTGGCCGGCATCGAGGCTGCCATCAAGAAGTGCCAAGAGGTCAAGGACAAGCCGTCCCTGATCCAGCTGAAGACCATCATCGGCTTCGGCTCCAAGCAGCAGGGCACCCACGGCGTCCACGGCTCGCCCCTTAAGGCCGATGACATCAAGCAGCTGAAGCAGAAGTTTGGCTTCAACCCCGAGCAGAGCTTTGTCGTTCCTCAGGAGGTCTATGACCAGTACAACAAGAAGGCCACTGCGGGCGCTGCTGCCGAGGAGGAGTGGAACAAGCTCTTTGCCAAGTACGGCGAGAAGTACAAGGCCGAGCACGCCGACCTGACCCGGCGCCTGAAGGGCGATCTGCCCGAGGGCTGGGAGAAGAACCTCCCCACTTACACTCCTTCCGACGCCGCTGTCGCCTCGCGCAAGCTGTCTGAGACCGTCCTGACCAAGATCGAGGCCGCCATTCCCGAGCTCGTTGGCGGCTCGGCTGATCTCACTGGCTCTAACCTGACGAGGTGGCCGGGCGCTGCTGACTTCCAGCCTCTCGCTCTTGGGCTTGGTAACGCCAGCTATGCTGGCCGCTACCTGCGCTATGGTGTGCGTGAGCACGCCATGGGTGCCATCATGAACGGCCTGGCTGCCTACGGTACCATCATCCCCTTCGGCGGCACATTCCTGAACTTCGTCTCGTACGCCGCTGGTGCCGTGCGCCTGTCGGCCCTGTCGCAGGTCCGCGTCATCTGGGTCGCCACTCACGACTCGATCGGCCTCGGCGAGGACGGTCCTACCCATCAGCCCATCGAGACTCTGGCTCACTTCCGCGCTACCCCCAACTGTATGGTCTGGCGTCCGGCTGACGGCAACGAGACCAGCGCCGCCTACTACGTCGCACTCACCTCGAAGCACACTCCCAGCATCATTGCTCTTTCGCGCCAGAACCTGCCTCAGCTGGAGAGCTCAACGATCGAGAAGGCTTCCAAGGGCGGCTACGTCGTGCACGAGGCCGAGGGCGCCAACATCACCCTTGTCTCCACCGGCTCCGAGGTCGGCATCTGCATCGACGCTGTCAAGTACCTGGCCGAGAACCACAAGGTCAAGGCCCGTGTCGTCTCCATCCCGTGTTTCGAGGTCTTTGACGCACAGTCAAAGGAGTACCGCCTCTCGGTCTTGCCCGACGGCATTCCGTCGCTGTCTGTCGAGGTCATGAGCACCATGGGATGGGAGAGGTATACCCATGAGCAGTTCGGCCTGAACCGCTTTGGTGCCTCGGGCCCGTACAAGGATGTGTACAAGGTAGGATATTACCACATTACATGCTCAACGTTATATAGAGAACACATGCTGACCCCCATTGCAGAAGTTCGAGTTCACCCCCGAGGGTATCTCCAAGCGTGCCGTTGCCACCATCGACTTCTGGAAGGATGTGCCCAACATTCGCTCGCCCATCAACCGTGCCTTCCAGCAACTCGTCTAGGCTATTCCACGAACGCTAGAGAAGGACAAGGATGCGGGCTGATTGTGATTTTTTGGAACCGCGCTGATGACGATGGTGTTCACGAGTAAATAGATCAGACTACAGACTAAAATAATCAAAAAGAGAAGTCAAAGCCAATTTTATGTTCGGTGAGTAGCGGTGCGGCCAAAGATATCCGATTATATGTGCAAGACATTGCTGCTTTGCGATGCAGCCATGTTCTGGATTTACATGCCTGACGAACTACGTACAATTTTCTTTTGACCCGGGAGACAGCAAGTTCTGTGGCGATGAACTCTTTTTGTTCCATGGCTTATGATCATGACTTAAGTAGGTGAGAGGGGAAACCGCCGCTCCACATAAAACAACCATTCGGAACTACAATTCCCATTAGAAGGGCTGGTTTCCTTTTTATAATCCGGATGGATAAGGTAGCCAGGTGGTACCCATCTAGTGAGTCAGGCACCACCTACCCAGGTACCTAGGGAGGCAGGCAGCCCAACTCTTTGGATCGACCAAGAGTGAGGTTAAGGTCGTGGTTGACCGCCCTCGGCGACCCAGCTTTCCTGGATCTGGCGACCAATCCGTTCCAGGCGGACCGTGGCGCGCCTGGCAGAGGAATATTCGTCCGGACTTGGGGCGATGATGACGCCGAGCAGCATTGGCGGAACATCGGGGGGCAAGGCGTCGGGCTCGGTCTCATTGTCGTGGGCCTGGTCGTCGGTGTGGGGCGTCTCGTAGGCTGCCCGCTGATCGCCATCATCACGGCGATCGTAATCCCCGTTTACTGCCCGCCTCGCCATCCCCGGGGATGAGTCTACTCCTCCGCTTGAGGGACCTGCCGCCGCTGTTGCTGCTGCCCGCTGGGGCCGGCCACTGCCTGCCGGGGCGCCGGGGGGCGATGGCGCCGGCCGTCGCGGGGTCCAGGAAGGTCTGGATCAGCAGCGGGCCGCGGGGACCGTACTCGACCAGGACGCGCTGCGGCGCGCCCAGGCCGAGGCGCGAGGCGGCATCGTGCACGCCCAGCGCCGAGGAGGCGAGCCTGGCGAGGGCGTCGTGGCGCGAGGAGGATGATGGTGAGGAGGACGACGGCGATGACGAGGTGACGAGCGGGGTGAGGGAGCGGTCGGCGAGATGGAGGGATAGTTGCGGGTAGTGATGAGGGAGGCTGGCCATGTTTATTTTCCGGCTCTCTGTTTTTTTTCTCGATCTGTCAATCGTCTCTTTCCAACACCCGTCCCGATGTCTGGATAATGTCAAATGGAGAACGAAAGGACTGTGCCAGATTTTCTTGATTCTTTTTCTTCGTTCTTTGTCCGGGATGACCAAGATAGATGAATAGACAGATGGATCAATGCCGGCACTGGCGCACCCTGTTGTCTCCCCCTAGCATCGACAGCTTCCTTCTACTCGACCGCAGCTTCTTCCAGGGTCCTCTTTTACGTGTGGAGAGCCGGAAGGAGCAACGCTACGGGAGCAGAACTGCCAGGCATCTAACCGCGAGCAGCAGGGAGGGCACAGCTCGTATCGGCCAGTACGAAGCAGCACAAGGACGGTCCAGGGCACAGTTTTGGCAAAGCTGGATGCAATGCGGGTTTTGGCGTGATATGCATGGAAAATGCAGCGAGAGGGGATTGCAGGAATGCCATCATACCTCAGCTGGGAGGAGGGATTATGGTTGGAGCAAGGAGCACGCATTGCCGGGGCCCAGCAGGCAGCACCCCTGTCGCGCCCCCTCTGTGGCTTGACAGGGGTCGCGGCCTGCCCGCTAGCGCTTCCCCTCTACGGCCCACCAGCGGGTAGGGTGTGTTTTGAATGCTGCGACACGCGGGCGATGCTCGATTGGGCTGGGCTGAGGCGGCTGGCAGAGAAGCCAACTTTGTCACAAGCCCGCCGCGAGATGCGTCAATGCGTCAAAACATCAGCCTCGCGCCACGAACCATCACCGCCACGACACGCCAGGAATTGAGCCCGCCCAGCCAGTACCGCATTGATCGGCCGGCACCGAACCGTAACCATGGCTGACGCAGATGAGAAGGCCAAGGCGGAGCGGCTGGCCGCAGCGAAGAAGCGGGCGAGTAACCCCTGTCCCCACCTCCCCACCCAATATCCGAGTCGGCGGCCGACGGTTTTTCGGGGTTCTTCTAACATTGACCAAGCTTGCCGCCATGTAGGTCGAGCAAATGAAGGCCAAAAAAGGCCAAAAAGGCCGGCGGCTCGTCAAAGAAGGCAACCGAGGAGGAAGCAGCCCCCAAGGAGAAGAGCGAGCCGCCGCCCGCAGAGGCCGCCGCCGATGACGACGGCGGCGTCGTCAAGGAGGACGACGACGAGGCGGAGGAGGCGGCGGCGCAACCGTCGGCCGCTGAGCAGTCCAAGGCGCGCTCCCTCTCGTTCCGCAAGCAATCCCTCTCGGCCGGCACCGTGCCCCCTCCCCTCCCCAGCCCCGGCCTGGGCGAGTCGGCACCCGAGATCTACCGCAAATACGTCACGCGCATAGAGGAGCTCGAGAAGGAAAACAAGCGCCTGACCAAGGAGTCGGCCGACGCCGAGAAGCGCTGGCAAAAGGCCGAGGACGAGCTCGCCGACCTGCGCGACGGCGAGGGCGACGATGCCGCCGCTGCCGGCAAGGGCGCGGGAGGGTCCGACGGCGAGGTCGAGAAACTCGTACGTTTTGTCACGCGCCCGCCTGACTGCCTGCCACTGCGCCCCACGTTTACTCTTACGTTTGCGGGTGCTTTGCGGGGACTCCTATGTTGTGGTATCGGTGGTTCGCGGGCGGAGCTACGCTAATCATTGTGTAATCGCTTGGGCAAACAGAAAGCCGAGATTGCCTCCCTACAAAGGCAAAACGCCCAGCTCCAGGCTCGACGGCACGGGCACTCGCCCTCCATCTCGGCTGGCACACCGCCGCAGGAGCTGACGGAACAGCTAGCGGCGCGCACGGCCACGATCGAGACGATGGAGCTCGAGATGTCGCGGCTGCGGGCGCAGGTGGAGCGGCTGTCGTCATCAGCCCCGGTGTCGGAGCAGGTGACAGCGCTGGAGGAGCGTGCGGCGCGAGCGGAGCGGGCGGCGGGACAGGCGCAGCGCGAGCTCGCGGACCTGAAGCGCAACCTAGAGCGGGCGTCGGAGAAGGCGGTGCGCGAGGGCAGCGAGCGGGCCAGCGCCGAGACCAAGGTGCGCTCACTCGAGCGCGAGGCGGCAGAGGCGGCCGAGCAGCGCGATCGCGAGGCCAAGCGAGCCGAGGCGCTGGAGAAAAAGGCGACGACGCTGACGACGCTGCACAAGGAGCAGGATGCACGGACTCAGGCGCTGCGGCGCGAGAAAGAGAAGGCCGAAAAAGACGCCACGACACTCCGGGAGCGGCTCGAGACGGCCGAGGCTGAGCTGCTCAAGCTCCGCAAGCGTGAGGCCAGGGATTCGGGCGGCACCGACGACGACGCCGTCGACGAGCTCGAGGCCGAGGGGCGCGCGCCGCTCGAGGCCAAGATCCGGCAGCTCGAGGCCGAGAACACGGAACTCAAGCGCGGCATCTGGCAGGAGCGCCGCAGGGAGATGCAGGTCGGACCCGACGGCGAGACCCTCTTCACCGAGGTGGAGCTGGGCAGCGCCGGGCCCCTCTCGCCCTCCCAGAGGCGGGGCCCGGGCGGTGGCATCGGCGACTTCTTCGCCAGTGGCATCAACGCGCTCACGGGCGCGGGCGGCGGCCACGTCCCGCACGCCGGGCCTGAGGATGACAGCCTGCTCGATGACGACGACGACTTTGAGTTTGACGAGGCGGCCTTCCGGCGGGCGCAGGAGGAGGACGCCAAGAAGCACCTCGAGCGCATCAGGGAGACCAAGCGGGGGCTCAAGAACTGGGAGGGCTGGAGGCTCGACCTGGTCGACGACCGCAACGGGAGCGGCGGCGGGGAGGGGTACGGAGAGATCTTCGAGGTCTGAAGGGGGCTTGCGCAAGGCTGCCTTGCTCATCCTGTCTGCTATATACCGGAGTCACTGCTATAGACGCCTCGCATACAACCCATTTACTGTCCGAGAAGGCGCGCGCGCGTGCGTGTCCTCGTGATAGCCATACCCCCCGGGACATGCACCAGATGAGCATGGTTGGCCTGCTGCATAGCCGAAGCCTTGACCTTGCCCAGGTTGCTGCAAACATGTGATGATGCTGATAGCCAGTGACAAGAGGAGATACGGATACCATCCAAGACATGCCCGCCTGGGAGGTGGGGAAGTTGATGTTTGCCTGGGCCAGCGGACAGGCAGAAACGTTGGCTTTTTTTTTCGACAATGATCTTTGGGGGGTGGCAGTGACGGTGATTAGGAGGGCATCCACGGCGATGATGTGTGGAGGGAGATAAGCCACCAAGAACACCTAACCTGATGGGCCAATCCATACCATGGAATATGTCTCGCAATGCATTGGGCTCTCTGCCTAACAAATCCACCTACATGGGAATGTAGCAACTTGATTGTCCAAACTCTTCTTCTCCTTTCGCTTTGCCGAGCAAGCCAATTATCAACCCCCGCACTCCCAACAGCCCTGCCGGCGCCGTCGGGGTCCCAGGAAGCGCCCTTGACCCCGCTAGCGAGCGCGAGGCTGTGGCTGTGTGCATTGCGTGTGGTTCGGACTCGCATAGAAGCGCGGCCGCATACCGGGCCGCGTCCTTCCATGGATTCCATTACGGGTGTGGTTCGAATTCCGCGCCGCCCCCGCCCGCCCGATTTTGTGCACTTTTTTTTTTTTCGTTTTGTCATCAATGCATGCATCTTTGGAAGGCTGGTACCTGGTAGGCATGCTTGCTCTTTTGAAGGACAGGGTGGGTACCTAGTGAACAGGGTACTAGAAACACGATGAGAAATACGATGAGGAATACGATAAGAAAATCGACGAGAAATATGATGAGGAATACTGATGAGAAATAAGGAACCTAAAGAGTGAGGAACAAAAAAAGCCTTCAGGGCGTGTAAGCGTTACTGTCCACATGGCCGCCGTGGCCGCCAAGATACCTGGGATGCCTCAGGACAGAGCACCCGCCCAAACCAACAGGATTGCCTGCCTACTCGTGCGGGCTGAAAGCGCCCGCACTTTAACCGCCCTCGGGTTAAAATACATGCCTAGAGGTACCGACCTACCTACCTGGTGCCTAGCTAAGGTCCTGACCAAATTGGTAGATCACATAGGTGCCAGGCACCGACATACCCATGCCTACCTACCCACCAGGTTAGCATGCAGCGTATTGCGGCCCCTGATCCACGGCCCATCAGCAGCCCCCCCGGGCCGACCGACGTCCCTCGCCCAGAGCCCCGGATTCGACAGGATGGAAACGGTCAACCTAAAGCTGGCGCCTGCTGCCCCGGCGCTTCCGTTCTCTCACATAAAGTCCCGCGCCTCGTGCCCGTGATTCGTGATGCGTACGTGCCCGTTTATGGTAGTGGCGTCCAAAATAAGACCTGTCATCCTGCAAGGGGCAAAAAAAACAAAAAAAACATAAGGCAAGTACGAGTCGAGGCATGCGAGGCGGATGACGTCCTCCAGGCACCAGCGCCTCATCCTTTTGCGCCACACTACCTACAATGATTGGTCCCAGGGAGTCATCCGGATCAGAAGCTCGTTTTTTGGTAGCCAACGAGATCATCAAGCAAAAGTGCCAACTCAACCCCGCCTTGAAACGCGTGGAAGAAAACGTGGCAGACAAACCGACAAAAAAAACGTCCCGTGTTTCGTGCCGCAGTCCGCCGGAATCTCCGATGGGATCGTGGGGGGCCGCATACTTACCCGGATGTACTGGTGCTAAGCCGCATGTGTGTGCCTTGGTTTACGGAGCCCGTTTTTATACTTGGAGGGTATTGCCAATAATATGGAATTTATGGTACATCCTATGTACAATCCCATGCTGGGCACCAAAGAAGAAAGAAGGGGGGGTATTGTGTTGCGAAGAATGGCGCAACAGAGAATAAGGAAAAAGAAAAAGAAAAGAGGATGAACAAAATCGTTAGGATAGAAAAAAGGGTGTCAAGGATGTGTTGAAAAGGAGAGAGGGAGCCCAAACGCCGCTTCATAACAGGATGCAATGTGAGATGCAACGATAAGGGAGGTGGGAGGAGTGTTCCAATAATGTACGTGTAAAAAGGAGTGCACGCATCGCGCGCACCCGTCAACTCCAATCGTTCGTGTTCTCAGAAGAAAAAACGTTGAAATCATGCGTCCGTCTCCAGTCTCATAATGTCTAAACCCAACCGTGTCCCACCCAACGCCGCCCGTAATCTATAGAGAAAAGGAAAAAAAAGGGGGGGAAAGGGGCAAAAGGACGAATAAGATACATGTATAGAAATGGTAGTAGAGAAAGCAAAGAGGCGCTGAGGATAAAGGTGGCGACAGGCGCCATGAGATAGAAGAAATGGCGCAATAAAGCACGTGATTCGAACGTGGCCTGCGCGGCGAAACCAGAGTGGCATGGTTTGGGTGGGAGGAAAATCTGCCTGAAAAAGCCCCTCACTGGAGGATTTCGGGGCTCTGCTGAAGATCGGGGGTTTGCCGAAGCTCGCGGATCTGCTGTACCATGTCCTCGATCTGCCGGCTCTGCATCTCGAGCTGCAGTCGAAGCTCGTCGTTCTCCATGCGAGTCTTCTTAACCTCTGCCCGGAGGTCGGCCAGGTCGTCGTCCGCGGCATCTCGCTTCCGCTTGGCCGCGCTACCGGGCATCGCGACGCCGCCTGCTGCCGCAACCTCGCTTGCGGCGTCGTCTGTGTCGCCGCCCGCGTTGGAGGGGGACCCATTTCTATGACACCTGCGAAGATGCTCGTTAAGGTTCTCCTGTCGCGAAAAGCCTTTGCCTGTGTGCCGCTTGCATGTCGGATGTGGGCAGTTGAGAGGATTCTTTGGCCCCCCATGCTTGGCGTGTACCTCGCGCTCATGCCGTAGCAGGCCCCCAGAATATGTGAACCCTGCCAGTTTCTCACATCCTTCGGCGAGGCACTTGTAGGGTCTATCGTGCTTGTCCATGTGCTTGCTGTGGAAAGGAGAAATATGATGTCAGTATGCAGCCATGTGGGAGAGATAGGGGGGGAAAATAAATCACACAAAGACTTACTTCCATTCGCACTTGCGACCAAACTCGCGCACATCCTCCTGGCAGCCCTCCCAGGTGCAGATAAACTTCCCTGTCAGGTTCTTGGTAGGCTGGCGCTCCGGCTTGGGTATCAACTTGATGCGGTGGTTGCCGTTAACAACTTGCGGCGGCGGCGAGTCTGGCTTGTCGGCGGCGAGCACGGGAAGGTCGGGCAGCCCATGCACCATCTGCAAAGTCGGCTCCGACTCGACCATGCCTGAGGATTGCGCGGCGTAGCCATGGACAGCAGCCGCCAGCTCGGCTACGTCCGTCTCGTCGAAGCGCGAGGACTCGTCGGGCTGCATATCGTCGTGCAGGACACCGTGCACCTGGTGGACGTTCTGCATCTCGTGGACGACGTCGTGCACTTCGTGCACCTCGTGAACCACATCGCCGGCGTCGCCATGGCTCTGGTGAATTCCATGTACGCCATGTACTTGGTGCGCCTCGTGCATCTGGTGGTCAGGGTGGACGTCGTGAGGCTGTGTGGCGTCTTGCGGCTCGGGAACATCGTGGACAGCCTGGACATCATGGACAGGGTCCGATTTGGGGTCGTGCATCATGTCTTGCTGTGCTTCGGCATGGCCTTCGGGGTGGACTTCGGGGTGGATGTCGGCGACGTCATGGACAACTGCGACATTGTGGGCGACAACGTGCACGTCGGCGCCCACGTCGGGTAGGTCGGGGGCCTCCCCAATCGGCGGATAGTTGCCGTCGGGGTGGAACATGCTCGCCCTGTGTTCGAAAACGACACTCATGGTTCCCAAGAGCGCGTGGGCGTGCTGGCCGGTGTCGGAAGGGTATTGGCAGGCGCTCTCTGGGGGGCCGGGGTGCTCGGGGCGTGTGTCGGAGGAGTCGGGGCGGACCAAGTCGCCAGAAGGCGGTCGCGAGCTAATCGAGGCGGCTGCGGAGGTGTGGGGTTCGAACGAGCTACTGGCGTGTGGGCTCGGGCAATCGTGGGCGCGAGGGTGTGCTATATGAGAAGCATGGGAATCAGTTGGTGCGTCCCAAGGCAACCACCCCGACGGCCTTGATGCTGTGAGGCTGATGTCTGATGTGCTTCCACGCCGCGCTGACTCTGAGCGGTTGACAAAATGGGCCGCCACCACATAACAAAAGGCCCGTGCGCACTGCGCCACAACGTTGAGAGGTGTGCCTGTAGTCACAGCCTGGGCTTGTGAGCTTGTGGGGTAGAGAGCTTCACACCCCTGCGGGCTCCCCGGCGGATTTGCCATTGCACCAGCAACCAGCCCAAGAATCCGGCAGCCTCGGGGAACTATTGCTTTGCTGCCTTTTGAGGCGCACACACGTACCTGATCCGCCACGCTCGTCCAAGAGGCCTCGTTTGTCCTCCAGGCCTTCGAGATTGTTCAGGAAGAGCACTGCTGCCGTATTAGTAGGTTTTCGGACATGAGGCTGATGACTCTGTTCCGACCCCTCAAGTCCTCCAACGCTGGTGGCCGCGCAAGGTCGTAGGAGGTGTGACTCACCGATAGGGCCGTTCTCAGGACAGGCACTCTTTCGCCTGAGGTCATCATGTGACGGGTCGGAGTCCATCTTGCTGCCGTTTAGGTTGTGTTGCCCACTCCGAAAGTGACTGGATCGGCAACCAGTTCGTCAGCCTTGCTCAGCCGTCAGAAAGTTGTGCAAAGGTCACGAGGTAGCTGTCAGGGATTATGCGCCGGCGACAAGGCTAGTTGGCCCGCGGGTTGCACAAGTCCTACCGATACTGAGCTCCTTTTCAAGTAGTGCCGTGCCGTTGGCTCATCTGCTTGGGGAGCGGCTGTTGGGAGCCGGATAGCGTATGCTGAAGCTTGTTTTTAAACACAGCCTGTGGGTCTAAGTTGGGGGTTCTTAGAATTGTAGCCCGAGACTTTGTTTGGTGTCGCTTTTTGCAGCTCGAATGTTCGTAACCGGGGTGCACGGCAGATGCCCGGCGGGAACAATAAGAAGAATGGAAACAAAAAAGTTGATAAGGAGCGTTCGGTGCCGCCTGGGCACTGTGGGAAAGACTGCTTTTCCACGTTTCTCTTCGGAATCAAGAAGGAACGGATTGCGGCGCGGCTCGCACGCCATCGAAAAAAAAAAGCTCAATATTGTAGGTTCGCCTAGGAAAGTACCATTGATGAAAGAGTTCGCGGGAGGGCTCCAGGACTAGGTTCTGTAAGTTTCGGATGATGTTACCGCCTGTGTATAAAAACAGGCAGCATGAAAAAGCCTTCCTCTCGAGACAAGGGCGCCCCCAAGAGCCTCGGGGAGGCATGGCCATTAACAGAGGCCGCATGGTTCATGACCAACACAGCAGCCGCATGCTCGGTCAACACCATGAGCGGCCCAGTAAAGCGGGCGATACGCCCGGAGCCGTGCCAACACGCGCTTGCATCGAGCAGAGAAGTTGTGAGCTCAGGCTCCGGCAGGTGTGCCTGCTGATTGATAAGAGCGCAACGGGTCCACACTATGGAGAGGCACGTCGGGTGCCTGGGCGCCTGTTCACGGGCACTGCTGCCTCACGGCCCGTCACCCGCGAAGCCAACATAACAGCAGCCGCACATACATATGGGTAGGTAGGTAGGGTAGGCCGTGCAGGTATTTGCATCCCCGTAAGGCTGCATATGCCCCGTCTCCGGACAGCCAGCCGACTGGGGCAACTGAGGCCACCCCCCATGGAAGCGACGACGTGGCAACGGTGCCGCAGAGACCGAAAGGGTTGCACGATCAACTACTGGCAGTTAGCCGAGGGGGATCTGGAACGACGCTGGAGGAGTCATACCTTCCCACTGTTGTGACTGCGACAGGTGATAAAACGCCAATCCTAGATGAGGAGCCACATGGGTGAATGCCGAGCCAGATCGCAGGTGCACTCGATGTCATCGCGTTGGTTCCCAATTCGAGACAGGTCGGCCATGGTTACCTGATCTGCCTGCCTGGGTAGGTACGGTACCTACCTAGTAGGCACCTAGCCTGGACCTGAAAGCTCCGCAGTGTCCAGCCGCGAGAGCAACGGAGAATCGGCAAGGCGCTCACCGATGGGAGGTTCGGCGTGAGGGCGGGCAGGGGCAATAAATCAACCCACCATCACGGGCTTGCGATCCCAATCGATCAATCAATTGCCCCAGTGGTAGACGGCGAACATCCAAATGGGCCCGTTTGCCGAATTGTGGCCGCCTCAGAACGGGCTCGTTTGTTTTTGGGTCGCTCGTCAGATTGAGCAGAGATTGATCTGCTTGGCTCCAAATTTCTCACCGCAGATTTCTGTGACTGGAATCGAGCGAAGTGGCAGCCTAAGGCACTGAGGTTTGATTGATAGGTAGGCAGCCGTGTGACAAAATATGTGACCGGATAGTTGCGTTGCCATGGACAGCATTGTCTGCTGGCTAATCGTGAAATCTCCTACTGCTTTGATATGGCCCTATCTCAGACCATTCATTTTTCGTTCTGCTCTGGTGGTTATACCAATTTGTCTATGTCGTGATTGTTTGTGAATACTTGGCTGGGGAAAGCGTATATTCCAACACTGGGTTACCTGCCAGTTTCCACGCCCTGCTAGGGCCTGGAGACAATGACTCCAGCCGACAGGAACAGCCTTACATTCAGTTTAGGACTTTGGTCTCTCCAGCAATCCGTCTGCGCAATGCGCCGCTTAACCTTATCCTGCGCGGCTGAACACGATGGTTCGTGTTGTAATCAATGGTGTGAAGCTGTTACCTAACGATGGCTGAAGCGTGCCAAGCCCTGAAGGTGGCGCCCTCACGACCCACCTCGCCTGCCCGTGGGGGGGGTCACAACCTCCCAACAGATGGGTTGTAGGGGTGTGGTCAAAAGGACCATAGGGCCGGAAAAGTTTTCATCTGGGGCTTATTTCCCTCACCAAGGCAAATTACAACGACAGAGTTCCCAAGTCACGATATTCCCACACTGTTTTACCGTACATCGTCTCCAAGTTCAAACCCAAGCAGTAGGCGGCCTGAAAAGACTGGTAGCACGCTCTTCCATTACTCCGCGGTCGAAGTATGGCCCAAACTGCAGATCCTCCCCTGCCGGCGCTGCAGGCGGGCGATGTTAAGTCGCCTCCGACCGAGAACGTGGACCATGAGTCTTCGGACCTGGGCCAGCGCGAGAATGGCACTTCAGCCGCGGACGACTACGATACGGAAAGAGTCGAGAAAGTCTACCGGTATGGTGGCGCGGTTTTCTTTGAGCTGAGAGAATGAGACCAAATCTGGGAATAGTGTGTGGACTGACCTCCCCAAAAGAAAGCTGGACCGCCGTATCATCTCAGGTGTGTGGCTGGCCTCACAAGCTTCTACTATCTACCTAGACACTCCAGCCAGGAGCCCAAGCTGACACTGAACCGACGCAGCATTCTGGATTCTGTACTTCCTCTGCTCCGCCATTCGCTCCAACATCGGCATTGCCCAGACCATGAACGCGGCCCAGGGGCACGACCTGATGACGGTCTTGAAACTCACCCCTCGCGACACCTCAACCGCCCTCTCTCTTTTCTACGTGGCATATGTTATCTTTGACTGCCCTTCAAACTTGGTCATGAGCAAGCTCAGCCCGAGTGCCTGGATGGCTCGCATAGTGATCGCCGTCGGCGTCATCGGCGCCTGCTTCGCCGCCGTCCAGGATGCCTGGAGCGTTCAGTAGGGGCTGCCATTGTATCTGTGATGCTGTGCGACCAGGATCTGCTGACACGCACAGGCTTCTGCGCTTCCTCCTCGGCGTTGTCATCGCAGGAATGTGGCCCGGCATGGCCTACTACCTCACCCTCTTCTACCCGCCTTCGAGGACTGGCAAGCGCATTGGCCAGTATTTCACGGCGGCCCAGGTCTCGGCCGCTGTCGTTGGCCTCGTCTCGGCCGGATTCCAACAGATGGATGGGCTGGGTGGCCTTGTCGGATTTCGGTGGATGTTCCTCCTCTACGGCCTCTCAGCTGTGGTCCTGGGCATCACTCTTTTGTGGTGGCTGCCTGAGCGCCCGCTGCCCCCCGGTGAGAAGCGAGTCCGCAGCCGCTGGAGCAGATGGCTGCCTTTGGCCCCCGAGGCCCTGAAGGGCGAGGACGCCGTGGTCCACTACCAGGAGCTGAAGCGCGTGTACCACGCCCGGCCCTGGAATATGAAAGACCTGGGATACGTCCTGATTGACTGGCGCCTCTGGCCCCTGGTCATGATGTACTTTGGCGTCGTCGGTGTGGGCATCGGCACCCAGCTCTATGGCACCGTCATCATCTCAGGCATCAACCCCGCCTTCACGGGCGTCCAGCTCAGCCTCCTGTTTGCTCCCATCTGGATCATGGACCTGATCGCCATTCTCCTCGTGACGCCCATCTCGGACAGGTTCCACCACCTCCGCCCCTTCTTCTTCTCCGCCGCAACGGCGATCCAGATCGCCGGCCTGCTGGTCGTGACCTTTGCGCCGCTGTCCAACCCCTGGGCCCGGTACGGCGGCCTCCTCCTGGTCGGCTTCGGCCTAGGCCCCACGGTCCCCATCTGCATGACCTGGACCAACGAGATCTTCCAGCGGCGCCACGGCGAGGTCGGCGTGGCCGCCGCCTCGGCCCTGGTTTCGGGCCTGGGCAACCTGGGCAGCATCACCACCACCTACGCGCTCTACACCGGCTGGCCCGAGGACGCCGCGCCTGGCCCTCACCGCTACCGCAAGAGCAACCTCGTCATGATCGCCATCCTGGTCGTCAGCATCGCCAGCAGCTTCCTGATGAAGCTCCTTCTCCACATGTTTGGCAACGAGCCGAGCCACAGGATCGCCAACAGCGACGGCGGCGGCGAGGTGCAGGACGGCGCGGCCAGGCGCGAGCTCCAGCCGCGCGGCTTCGGGCGCATGTGGTGGAGCAAGCGATCCTAAGTGTCTCACTACGCAGGGCCTCTAGACCTGGGAGCATCCAACATGCTATCCTAGCCGACGATGCAGACCTTGCCATCTTTTTCTGAGCAGCTCAACCCGCCATCTGAAAATCTACCATCCGGTGTTGGGCGGTCATCCTATTCTTCTTCACCTTCTTTATCTACCATCTTATCTCTCCATCTTCATTACCGGTATCCTTCGTCAACCATCACCCCCCTACTCTCAGCTCGGTGTGCCGATCATCCGAGGATGAGCCATCGCTACGCCCCTCAGCAGTTGGCCCCTTCCCGACGGCGACAGTGCCGGTACGCCATCGCCGGGATCCAGCATCCAAGGCCAAGAGACGGCGGCCTCGCAGTCGACAATGCTAGCGCGCTATCGCCTCGGGCCGCCTATTGGTCGTGTTTCGTCTTTACTATTTTCTTTTTTCATGTCTTTGGCTTTATGATACCCCATCCGTGTTTGGATACGCTGTCTTTCGAGGTTTCTTCGCCCACTCGACAGCGAAAGTGCTCCTACGCCATTGCTGGGACGGCGTGTTTGTACCGAGGCCGGCACCACCGCGCGACAATGCTACTACGCTATCGCCGGGTCGGCCTCGTGGGAAAACGTCACCCCTTTCAGTCAGCTTTTGGAAAGTGAAGAAACTTGGAGTTGTATAAACAAATTCTTGATGCTATTGTCATCAAGGAAGGAGACTCTTGAGTGGCCGTCCATCTTTCTTTACACGGACGGCTTCTTTGGTGTGGACTGCTAGAGAAAGACAACATTCCGGGACACCAGCATTGTGGCTGAATGTCCTTTCGGGATCCAACGCAATCCGACCCGTTACTCCTCGCTCTGCTCGCCCGTGCTTTACTCATGTACAACACCCGTTCCTGCTTTGCTGCTGTTGACCAGTCCTACATCAAGATTGCCAGAGCGACGCCCAGAGTCCAGGGTCCCAACAGCGTGCCGCTCACCGGATTCGCGGCACCCGACGGTACCATGCGCGATAGCTCGTCAGCGAGGTGCTCCGGGTCCATCGGGTGAAGCAGCATGACGCAGGGGTTGTCGGTGGCGCTCCCCAGCACCACGTAGGACCGCGCGACGCGGTCGGCCGGCTCGACGTCTTCCATGCGCGGGCAGTTGCCGCTCTCGAGCCCGGCCGGGACGACTGGCAGGGTCGGCTCGCCGTCCGGGCTACTGCCGTGGCTTCCGCCGCCGCCGTCGTGCCCCGGTGAGAAGGCCAGGGCCCAGGAGGCCTCGACGGTGTCGCCGGTGACGCACGAGCCGGGCGTGGGGTCGGGCGGGGCGCGGACGAAGCGGACGATGGCGCATTGGTGGTACGAGTGGGTGTCGTTGATGTGCTGGTGGACCTGCACGACGGAGCTGAGGTCGAGCAGCGGCTCCTGCCCGATGACGCGCGTGATGCAGCACTCGCCCGCGCCCGTCTGGTTGACTAGCGGCGCGATGGCCTGCCAGCCCTGCTTGACGACGTTGATCTGGGACTGGGGGACGACGCGGAACTCCCACTGCGCGAAAAAAAAAAAAAAAAGGGTAGCACGGTTTTGTTGGTCAGTGAGGTCGTGTTGTTTGTCGGTATCCGATTTTGTTTGGGAGGTGCGGATGGTGTGTACTTTGTACGTCCGAGGTGAGGAAAAACGGTAGCCATGTGTGCGTGTGTGTGTGTGTGTGTGTGTGTGTGTGGTCGTCAAATACTCACGATGCTGGAGTGCTCGTGCGTGAACAGGGCCACGGGCGAGCCTTTGACGGGCCAGCGAAGCGGCTCCTGCTGCATAAGGCTCCGGTTGCCCGTGGAGCCAAAGCAAAGAGGCAGCTTGGTTGGATCGAGAAGAATGGGGGCGTTGTCTTTGGGGTCATGGTGGCGAGGCGCAAGAGCAGGCAGCGAGGCTTGAGCTGATGCTAGAGTGGTGAGCCAGGCCAGGCAGCCCAGCATGGCCGGCGCCATGGAGAGCTTGCAGTGCATGATGGAGACGGTGGTGACGTTACTGGTAGGAAACTGGTAGGAAGCTCTTGTGATGCGCAGAGGCGAGGGATGGAGGGTTGGAGAGTGATGCGGCAAAAAAAGTCAGGGCATGGAGAAACGAGGTAGGTTGCTCGGTCGATGCAGGTTTCTTGGGGGAGTAGGTCATCCAGGTGTATGGGACGATGGCCAAACAAAGTCTCCGGCTCCGGCAATAGTAATCAGAATCCTACCACCCAGTCCGCTCTGCAAGCTTGCCTTGTTCCGTTTTCCTATATAACTTCCTATTTCCCTCCTTATTATTGTGTATAGTTTTGGCTTTCTCTTCAAATCTGCTTTTTTAATAATTAACCGCCCAAGGTCGTGGCTTATCCCCAAGTAACGTTGGATATATGTGTGGCTGAGGACAAAATGAAAGCAATGCCATCCATATAATCACCATGGTAGTGGTTGAACCTGCCAAAGCATAGGAGCGAGGCGCGCCAGTGCCCATATCAAACCGACCCGGAGCGTTACTTCCAACAAGCTCCCGCGGCAAACGGAATGGTCGAGTGGTAGAGAAATCTCCCCTTCTTCCATGCGTGAGGCATAGTACACCCAAGTCGTGAGTTCGAGTACGAGTGTTGTCAGGTGTCCCTTTGGGGTATAAAGTTCCTGGTAGTAAAGGGCACTCGGTTGAAAGATGCTGAGCTTCGAAGCAAAACCCAACTAGGGTTTTCGTAACCCGGTCCTCGCAAGGCGATCGGGCGAGCTTTTTGGTCCTTATATCGTTTTTATGCATTTCTTTTCTTTTCCATTTGTGTGGGTGGTGGCGCGTATCTACCCACTCACTCCTCTCAGCAAACCACACCCATTTTTGTTCCTGGACTTAGCTTGACGAGAATTATGCTGTATTGTGCGTGGTGTTGTTAGCGGCAGATGAGGCTGCTCCTGGTTGCCATGTCGATTATAAACTACACTCCACCGCTACCAGTGCCGGAATCAACCTTGTTCCAACGACAAGGCTAACATAAATGGTGGGTGATGTTGATCCACCAACGATGCGTGGTCAGCTAGCCCTCAACGCCGACGCATTACGTAACCAGCGTGCCCCAAGAATGGTCAGCCAGACACGGACGGAGAAAAAAAAACCACTTGTTTCTCTTTGATGCATGGGCCAGCCACACAGCCAATAATGAAGCAGGGATCTGTGGTATTGACTGGGGCAGCTGGCCAAGCATCAGCGATCCGGCCAGAACGGGCGATCTAGACTGGCCCAATCCCACCCCTTTGTCGCACCGGGCCTGCCGGCCGGGTCTTACAGCGCTGAAATGGGGAGGACGCGGAGAGGCTACGCAGCATCGCGTGCCGTCGAGACACGCTGCCCGGGCATTGCAATCTCGATGCGAGACAACCGCCTGTCTGTCTGTGTGCGTTGGCTGCGGCTGCAGGCCCTTTTGGCTAGCCGTGAGTGCAGCCCTCGGGTGTCGCGTCACAAAAGGCCGCTTATGAATCGAGCAGCCTGAAGAAAAAAATCGCTCTCCCGCCAGTCGAGACCCAGGCGGGCTCTTTCCACTTCGTGCTCTCCACACACGGGCCATTGAGAGCCAGCGGCCAGCCGTTCGTTCCAGCCCTGCTGCCGCCTGCTCTGGGGTTCTGAGGCATCCTGTCGCATCGCCACTGGTGGATCGTGGATTGAAATCCGCCCACGGTGATTTCTTTCCGCGTCGCCGGTGCCAGGCGCTCCAGCCCACACCTTCCCTTGCCCCTTCCTCCCTTTTCTTTATCTCAAATGCGACTGCCGCCATTGAAACCACGCAATTGCCCTGCCTGAACCGCCCGCCGCATCGCTCCTGCCCTCCGCCCCCGTCCGCCCTGCCAGCGCCCATCACAGGTAGCAGCCACATGGAGCGGAGCGCCTTCTCTTTCCACCAGACTGCCGCGGACAGCGTCGGCCTCCCCAACAAACGCCTCGAGTCGAGCTTCCATTGACCCCGACCCGACTGGATATGCCTCAATCTGCCTCTCCATCCTGCCCCGCCGCCTACCGGCAGTTTCTCGCGAGTGAGAGTTGCAGTCCTTCGACAACCTAGGTCCAGGTCTCCGCAGCTCTCGGCCAACGGCGCCTCATCTGGACGCTGCAAGCTCGACTCAGCTCAGCGCACCTAGGTGTAGCTACCTCGGCCAAACCGCACCATCTTCCGCCTCTCCGACCACACTGTCAGTCAGCCAGCCCGAGGCGAGCTCAGCTCTCCAGCCCGCTTTCTTGATTCGGCGCCGGCAGCCATCGCCAAGCCGTTACCTGGGTTTGGCTGTTTCTGATCCCGCTATACCTCCACCGCCAGCCCTACTTGTCTCCGAATCGCCTACCCGCTTGACCCCACGTGTTTGGCCATCGCCAACTGCCATCTGCCAATCTGCCTTACCCACCTATCTACCGACCGAGCCCCGGTATTCACCCGTCCCGTGCCCATTGAGCTGGAATAATGCTCGTCTCGGCACTCCTCGCCACTGCCCTGGCCGCCAGCCCGGGCATGGCTCACTTCCTGCTGCGCCTGCCCCCTTCGATGGGGTACCTGCTTGACTCCACGGGTGTCGCACCCTGCGGCGGCTTTACGTTTCACGGAAACATCAGCGGTAACAACTATCCAGTCAAGGGATACCCCTTTGCCGCCACCTCGACGGTCCACAACGTCACGTATACTGTCAAGATCCGCCTCCTCAAGGAGCCCCCGGATGTCTTCCATGATATCCTGCCGCCTCTGTTCGTCGACCACTACGGCACATTCTGCATCCCTTCGGTTCCTGTCAACCGCTCGTGGGTCAACGAGCCTGCCGAGTATCACGTCATCTCCAACGACGTTACCTCGACCACATACCAGGTATGTGTGCTACCTCCCGCCCCCCTGTGCCCTACTTGACACAGTTCCCATCTGCAAGACGCGGCCACCGCCCCTACAGTGTTGAAATGCTCACCTCGTCCCCTTTGCCTGTATGCAGTGTTCTGTCATCCGGTTCACCGACCAGGAGGCTTTCAATGCCAGCACGCGCCCTGTGTGCAGGAACACGACCAATGTGAATGGAACGCTTCAGCCCTGGGGTTCTGACATCACCACCAGCCCGACGGCGAACACGGCCTCGGCGACTCCCACGCCCACTGAGGCCGTTGGAAGCCGCCACATAGGCTCCAAGCTTGACCCTTGGCTGTCTGCTAGTCTCTCCATCGCCATTAGTGCTTTCCCCTTCCTTCTCTAAGGCGTCAGGCCGCCACCTGTTCTTACAAAATGCTTTTTAATGTGCGGGTTATTTTGGGATTTTATTGTTATTTGCAGGCGATACCCCTATTCAAGCTGCGGAGTCATGGCGTGGGTTACTGTATTGGTGGGAACCCTGTCGGGGTCAAATGCAATCTGGCAACGGGAAAGATCTTTTTGGACGATGGTCATCATGATGGAGGAAACGGACAGATACACAAAGGTGGTCCTTGCTTATGGGTGCAACGGGACACCATGAAGGGTCTACTTGCATCACGACTATCACTATGCACCACTTTGTAATGGTAGCTACCTAGATCGCTTACCTCTCAGAGAGACAACAACATGCAACATTTTGGTCATCACTGCGGCCTTTGGTGCCATGCTTTTCCTTTTATGAGGCCAAGATGGACCTCGGCCTAGACACCAATGCATGACATCAATCATGTCGTTTCCTAACTGTGTTGTAGATCAATGCTACGGCGGTGCCAAGCGTCATCAAACCAAAGGGGTATATGCAGTTTTGCTACAGCCAGACAAGATCTAACCCGAACATTGTACCCGACGGAGCCCCCAGTCCGTACCACTCCTCACACCGAGGACTGGCAGGGTCAAGACGTGGCCGCTATGATGTCGCTCCCCTTATTTATCTGCACCCTCTTGTCCTCGCCTCCGCTGACGATGCCCCAGGTCCTGTCCCAGGAGACGCCAAAGACCTTGACGCCGTCGCCGGCGACGGGCCTCTTCTTGCCTGCGAGGGACTCGCGCTCGATGACGTAGACGGGTTCGCCGACGCTGCCGCCGGCTAGCAGGCCGGCCTCGGCGTCCTTTGCGGTGGCGGGGCGGACGCTGCGCAGGTCCCAGACGCGGCAGGTGCCGTCATAGGAGCCCGTGACGAGCGAGTGCGAGTTGTCGGGCGAGGGGCCCAGGCACGAGACGACGTTGACGTGGCCGCGCAGCGTCATGACCGACGTGGTGCGCGCGCCGTCCTCGCGCGGGTCAATGAGGGTGACGTTGCGGGAGGCGGTGCCAGCGGCGACGAGCGGGGTAGAGCCGCTGCCGGCGGCGGCGGCGGGGAGCAGGCAGGCCGACATGAGGGCGCTCGAGGCCGTCACGGTGCTGACGACGCGGCTCGACGTCAGGTCGAGGACCTTGAGGGTGTGGTCCTGCGAGACGCTGTAGGCGGCCGTGGGGTCGGCCGGATCGAGCAGGGCGGCGCTGACGGGGCGCGAGTGCACGGGCATGAGCGACAGGGCGCCGCGCTGGGCGGCGGTGGCGGCGCCGGCCGAGGAGGCCTTCCTGCGCTTGGTCGCGTACGTCTGCGGCAGCAGGGCGGCGGGGGCCTCGGGCGCCAACTTCTTGGACGTGGTCCAGAGCCCGACGGAGCCGTCGGCGCAGCCCGTCAGCACGCGGCGGGCGGCGCCGTCTACGTCGACGGCCTCGACGGTGCCGCGGTGGCCGTACAGCTCCAGGGCCAGCTTGAGCTCGCCCGACAGCCGGTCGGCCGTCTCGGCGTAGTCCCAGATCCGCACCGTCCTGTCCAGGCCCGCGGCGGCGATCTTGGACGGGCCCAGGAAGCGGGCGGCCTTGAGGCCGCAGAGCGGGCCCCGGTTGACCAGCGGCGACGTGGCCATGACCTGGCCCGAGCCGTCCCATATCCTCAGGAGGCCATCGTACGAGGCCGAGAGTATGCGGTCCTGGCCCGGGGCGTAGCCGGCGCCGGCCCAGGCGGCGGCGCGTGAGGACTCGGAGAGCACGTCGACGGCGCTGACCCAGTCCTCGTGCTCGAAGCTGGCCTGGTACACGGGCGGGACCAGGCTGCGGACGTACTGTAGCGTGAGCGTCTTCTCGAACGGCAGGCCGTTTTCTCGCAGGTAGTCCTCGATCGTGGACCTCAGGAACGTGCCGTTGACCAGGAAGTCGAAGGGTATGGGCGTCGGCGTGTCGAGCATGGACTCGGAGTTGACGATTCGGGAAAGGCCATATCTGCGGATATCTGAGGGCAACTGTATGAGTAGGGCTCGCTTCGGATGAGACTGGGAAGCGGGCGGGGCTGGTCACCTGCTGGGACGAGGAGGAGCTGTTTTGACTCTGGGAGCTCAAGGCCCGACTCTGTGGTGGTGAAGAGAACCTTGACGGTCGCTTCAGCCTGCGCCGGAGCCTCCATTGTGGCTGGAGAGCTGGCTCTGGCGGGCAATTGGGAAGAGAGACGGAGACTAAAAGCGCCGGTTAAGTGAGAGTGTCCTCGGGTGGTAGTGAGTCCTTTATTTAGGTGTGGTGATTTAGTGACATGCAGAGATTAGTGTATGCGGACGGATTACCAAGAGTTCGCCCGCCGCGATGCTCCAGAATTTTTTTTTTTTGCTCCCTTCTCAGCCTTGTCGAGCCTTACCCCACGGTCGCAATGCGCAGCGAATGGATAGAAGACGATATGACCTTCCCCTGTCGTGGCGAGTGGCATGTGGGTTTATTATATGGGTCGCTTTCCAGCCACCAAGGCCCCTCCCACCTGCATGCCCGACCTAAAAGTTCGCGTTCTCGTAGCTTCCCAACGCGTCGTGGACTCCCGCACTCATTCCTTGGCTCGTCGAGTGTGAGAAGGCGTGAGAACCGCAGCATGTTCTCGATTGCCCACCATGGTCAAACTTGAAGATGTAGCAGGCATTTTGCTGCAAAAGCCGTCGTAAGCATCCAACCTTCGTCGCAACCGTTATCTGGCCGCCAACCGACTGACCCACACTTTTAGGGATGAGCCGCCGGCACAGGCAGCGCTCGAGAGGCTTTTGTCCAGCTACAAGCCGCTGGATTCATTCGTCCTGCCCAAGAACAGGCAGTACAAGCAGCAGTATGGCGACATGTACTTTCTCAGGCTTACCATGGTCAGGCCCGCCGTTGAGCAGGTGGCCTCTGCTGCCTTTGGGGACGTCATCATTGGGGGTGAGCCCGCCCAAAAGGTCGAGCGTGTTCTGGATGTGAGACAGGGAGAGCTCTGCTGGGTCACGGGCACCGTTTATATGGATATGCCGTTGAAGCCCAACATTCTGGAGGACGTGGCCAAAGATGTGAGTTTGATTTCACCACGTGAAACGACCCTCGCCTGAAGGTATGCGCTGCTGACGTTTTTTCGTTTTCCCCATAATAACAGCGCTGGATATCTGCCCCGCCAACGGCCCAGAAGTACATTTCCGAGGATGGGCAGGATTCCATCATGCTCGAGGACGACTCTGGTCGGGTGCGGCTGGTTGGCGACGTTCTAGAGGGGGCGATCCTCGTCACCGGCTGTATCATCGCCGTCATGGGTACCGAAAACGCCGATGGAGATTTTGAGGTTATCGACGTGAGATATCCTGATCTCGCACCCCAGCCTGATCGCTGGGCGCTGTCAAACCCTCCGACTGCCAATGGTAAATCCAAAGCAACGAAGAAGGAAGCTAGCGAAGATATCGATATGGAGGGCAGCTCCGCGCCCCGTGGAAGCCAGGGGAAGATTGCGATTGTCTCAGGTCTCAACTTCTCAGGCACCGACACGTCGTACGCGCTGGAGTTAAACCTGCTCTTAGAGTATCTCCTTGGCGAGGTTCTCGACCCAGCCGCGCAGGGCGAGCTCTCTCATATCAGCCGTCTCATCATCGCAGGGAACTCGATTGCGCCCGAGGACGCCAGCAAGTCCATATCTACCGAGGGCGAGGATAAAAAGGCACACAGGAAGTACGGCTACGACAGCAGCGCGTACAACCCGGTTCCGTCGCAGTTGCTAGACAGTTTCCTGTCAGAGCTGCTGCCTAGCATGCCCATCACCATTATGCCCGGCCAGCACGATCCGGCAAACGCGAGCTTGCCCCAGCAGCCAGTGCACCCAGCCATGTATGACAAATCGAGGGCCTTCATCGCAGCTCCTGGGGGCGCCGACCCGGGCTGGCTGGACTCGGTGACAAACCCATGGGAGGGGGAAGTGGATGGATGGAGATTTCTCGGTGCCAGCGGGCAGAACGTCGACGATGTTTTCAAGTATGTATCGAGCGACGACCGGCTCGGCATGATGGAACTCATGTGTCGCTGGCGCTGCACGGCTCCGACGGCACCTGACACCCTTTGTAAGTTCATACCCCCATGGAGCATGCATACAGCCATTCCTATTTCGCCCGCTGACCGTTTCTGTAGGGAGCTACCCCTTCCAGGACAACGACCCATTTATCATGAACCAGTGCCCCCATCTCTACTTTGTTGGGTCACAGCCAGAGTTCGGGACCAAAACTATAACAGGACCGGAAGGCCAGTCGGTGAGACTAGTGACAGTCCCGACCTTCTCCAAGTCCAGAGAAATTGTGTTGGTGGATACGGAGACGCTAGATATCACCCTGGTCAAGATCTCGGCCTCGTGACCCGACATGGAAGACACCAATGCCCGTCTCCCTCATTAGATTTCAGGCCGGGGCTTCTGCTACTATTACTATCGCCATGCCTATCCCTTTGATACCCTAGACCATGCTGCTGTTGAGTCTTGCCTGACGATGACACGACCCTGATAATCAACCTAGATACATGAGCATATTGTGTATTCGATGCAGTCGGTGTAGAACAAAATTGAGACGATGTTGGTCCCCCAACCGTTACGAACCAAGTGCCGAAGAGCCAGGGGTGGACAGGCTTCCCCACACTGCCCCAAAGCTGGACTGGAGCTGAGCTCGGGGGTTCGGACACGAAACCATGAGGCGCTATGCGGTCCGGGGGAAAGCTTGCTTCCAGCCGCAAGATAACCTTACGGGAAACGGCAGCCCCTGGCATGGATCCAGGGGCACGCGGTGCCTGGATTGATGCCGGCTCTAGCTTCCCACGGGGCATCACCAGCCTTCGCCGCCCTGCCAAAAGCCGTATCCTACGGAGAAGTTTAAGGCCCAAGAGACCCACAAGCCCACAGGCCCACAGGCCCACAGGGCTGCCCGTTTTTAGGTTTTCCGTCGGGCCGCCAAGGACGACTTTCCCGTTCACACGGCCAATCTCTAAGCAATTCCAGCGCAGCGATAAGCGGCCCAAATCTTTGAGAGGCTGGCCTCGGACTTTTCCCGCACTCGGCTCATGGCATTCGTCACTCGAGGGGGCCCGAAGAGGGGCCAAGGAAATCTCGCCCTCGCCTCCCCGCAGAATTACATGCACGCCCTGCGCAAGACACAGGCAGCAGAATGGCGCGCCCTTTGGAAGTTACACGCTGCGCGCGCCGCACACAAAATGGACCACACTTGAGCAGACACGCCCCCTAGGTCCTGCCATCTCAATGCCATCCCTGCTCTCTCCAATGCTCCCGTCAAATTCTAGAACCCCGGTTTATTTTCTTGGACGGCATACATGGATGGGGTTTCCCGCGGCCAGCTCGGTCATGGGAGAAGGTGGGAATCCCCTTAGGTAATTATACGCATCACCGGACCCGGTTTGTTTCTTTTATGAAATGAGAATGCCTTTTTGCGTCCGACGGGCTCGGAAGAAAAAAAAGTATCATCTCGTCTACGTGCGGTGTGCTCTCAAGTGAGCCGGCCAAGAAAAGGAGGCGGCCCAACCTGGAGCCGTCCAAGTGGGCTTGCGGAAAGGTTGCCCAGGTGGTCGGTCAGTTGGCCGGCGAGATATCTCCATCCGTGGCGGCATGTTACGGATATCTTGGCTGGTCGGCGGGTACGTACCTGACGGACGGGTCGCTATCTCACCCGCCACTTTCTTGCTTTCTTATTTTTTATTATCTCTTGACCGCTCGCTGCCCTGGCACAAGGTTCCAGATAGGATAATTGGGAATCCCCTGTCAAAGATTGTCCAAGATATAAAACCCGGTTGGCCCGACCGCCAGTCATCAACTCTTTACGCCGCTTATCGGTCCCTTCTTTTCAACACACCAACCTACTCCCCTTGACTGGCTCTTGTTATCTATCCCTCGCCTTCACGCACTCGGTCACGCCCTGGCTCACAGAGAAACGGCACTTGCACTCCAGCTATTGAGCCCTGTTTCGGTTCTCGCCGTCATCATCCTAGTATAGCAATGGGTTCCTACTCAGTTGAAACCCCGAAGCCCTGGATCGAGACCCCGTGTCTCTATTCAGGGCCGCTATCTCGCGCGGCTGGATGGTCAGTACCGAATCTATACAGACAATGACACCATATATCATGTCATGCTGACAGGTGGACACAAACAGCAACATCTATCTCAAGCTAGACAACCTTCAGCCGTCAGGCTCGTTCAAGTCCAGGGGCATCGGCTACATGATGCAGCGGGCGGCCGAGGCTTCCCCCACAGGCAACATCCACTTCTACTGCTCGTCGGGCGGCAACGCCGGGCTCGCCTGTGCCACCTCGGCCGCCACGATGGGGTGCCGGGCCACCATCGTAGTACCCACGCTGGCGCCGGCGCACATGGCGGAGAAGCTGCGGGGGCTGGGGGCGACGGTGGTACAGACGGGCAGCAACTTCGCCGAGGCGGACGCGTTCCTCAAGCGGGAGCTGCTGGCGCACGACCCGCTCGGCGTCTACGTGTCGCCCTTTGACCACCCGGACATCTGGGCCGGGGCCGAGACGCTCGCCGACGAGATCTCGGCGCAGATGAGGCGGGCGGGGCCGGACGGCGGGCCCGTCGACGTGGACGCCATCGTGTGCAACGTCGGCGGCGGCGGCATGCTCGTCGGCATCCTCGACGGCATCGAGCGCGTCTGGCCCCAGGCCCCCGCGCCCCGCCCGCGCGTGCTGGCCGTCGAGACGCGCGGTGCCCACTCCCTCAACGCCAGCGTCGTCGCCGGCGAGCTCACCACCCTGCCCGCCGTGACGTCCATCGCCGTGTCGCTGGGCGCGCCCCGCGTCGCCGCCCGCGCCTACCAGCTCGTGCGGCAGCGGCAGGACGCGGACGCGGCCGCGGGGGCCCCGCCCCAGGTGGTGTCGGCCGTGGTGAGCGACGCCGAGGCCGTCATGGGGTCGGCGCGCTTCCTCGACGACGCCCGCCTGCTCGTCGAGGTGTCGTGCGGCGCCACCGTCTCGGTCGCGTACAACGGCGACCTGCGCAGGCACCTCGGCAAGGGGCTCGGCGACGCCGAGTGGGCCGCCCGCAACGTCGTGCTCATCGTCTGCGGCGGATCGCACACGACGCTTGACATGCTGCTCAAGTACAAGGCCCAGTTTGGTGTCTAAGTGGCACTCTTTTTTTCGTCTCGTCTTTCCTTTTTTTTTTTAACCCGACACTAGCGATAGAACTTTGGCAGACTGAGCAGTTGTTTTTGTTTTGGACCTTTTTTCCCACTTTATTTGTCCTTGGGTTTTGAGCAGAGCTTTTGGCGTTGGGGCGAATTCGCAAGGGGGTCTTGCAGAGAGCATGATTGGTATTCTAGTTTAGACATTAGATTCAAAATGACATGGACCAGATGTACTTGGCCTCATCCATCATGCATCACCCTCCGAACTCCGACGGTACTCGAGCTCCCGGTAGCCGGGCGGGGGAGGAGGCCCCCCCGCAGCCGCGGCGCCGTCGACGTCGCGCAGCACCATCTTGACCTCGCCAAAGTAGTTGACGGGCCCGACCTGCTCGAAGCCCAGGCGCCTGAAGAGCGCGATGCTGGCGCCGTTGTCGGCCTTGATCTTGGCCATGAAGAGCCTGAGCGACGATGATGATGATGCTGTTGTTTCGTCGATGGTAGTAGCGGCAGCAGCAGCAGCAGCAGCAGCAGAAGCCATGCCCGACGACGACGACGACGACCCCCGCAGGTGCTGCTGCTGCTGCAGCTCCCCCAGGATGCCGTCCAGGTTCCGCCGCACGTAGCGCAGCAGCGCCGCCACGGCCGCGCCGCCCACGCCTTTGCCCCGGTGCTGCGGCGCGGCGACCATGACGTCGATCTCGGCCACGTAGGCCGGCGGCGGCTTCTCCTCCGCTGCTACTGCTGCCTGCCCTTCGTCCTCGCGGCCGCCGTCATCCTCGTCGTCGTCGTCGTCGTAAGGGTAGAGGAACAGGTTGACGTCACCGACCATGCGCGCGGGCGCGTCGGCCTCGCCGGACCGCACGTGGCCGGCGGGTGCGGCGGTGGTGGTGGTGGTGGGCTGGCAGATGATAAAGGTGAGCTTGTCGTGCGAGGCCCGCCACGACGCCTGGTTCTCGTACTCGGCGTCGAGCGTGAGGCGGTCCGAGGCGGTGGCTTCTCGGATCGCCTGGGACATTTTTTTTTTCATGCAATCAGTCCTCTCTCCATAACTGCTACCCGGGGTCGGGGGGGGGGGGNGGGGGGGGGGTAGCGAG